ACCGTCGCTCTCCCCGGCTTACAGTCCTTCGATAAGTCTGCTTTCTTTTTAGACTTATAGCAGGATTTTGATCCTGCCTCCCTGCATTGCCCCACACTGAACACCCCGCACTCTCTTATCCATGCCTTTGTGCATGCTGTTCCCTGCCTGAAATGCCCTTCCCACCTTGTCAGCCTGATGGACTCCTACTCATCCTTCAAGACCACACTCCTGACCTGATCGGTTTGGCTCAGTGGATAGAGCGTCGGCCTGCGGACCTAAGGGTCCCGGGTTCGATTCCAGCCAAGGGCATGTACCTTGGTTGCAGGCATATCCCTAGTGGGGGGGAGGGGGGAGGGGGAGGGGGGGGGAATGTGCAGGAGGCAGCTGATCGATGTTCCTCTCTCATCGATGTTTCTAACTCTCTATCCCTCTCCCTCCCTCTCTGTAAAAAATCAATAAAATATATTTTTAAAAAAAGACCCCACTCCAGGGACCTCCTCACCTGGGGAGTCTCCCCTTCCTCATGGGCTTGACCAGACCACGCAGCGCCTTACTCTCCAGCGTGTCTAACCCGTTCCTGGGTGAAGCATGCCCTGCTGCAGAGCTCGGTCTCCCCAGGCTGTGGGCTCCCTCAGAGAAAGGGCAAAGATGACGTCATTCCTGCCCCCCCATGCCCAGCACCCAGGGAAATGAATTGCAGTTCAGGAACCCCACACCGGGTTCCTCTGGCCATAGGAAGAGTGGTCAGAGGACCGCCTGGGAGATGAGCAGGCAGTGAGCTGACCAAGGCGGTGGCCACACTGACGGGGACCTTGCGAGGGTTAGGGAAGGTTTCGCGTCGGCGCTGCTGGCCTTGATGGGCTCCGGTCTACTCCGCGAGAGAACATTCCGTGCCTGGGACCTGAAATCTACACCGCGCTCCTGGCCCGGGCTTCCAGCCCACGGGGTCTCTCTGTGCTGCGGCTTCCATAGCAACCTGACTACGGACACCCACATGGCCCAGCAGCGCGGCCACCTGGGCCAGACTCTCCCAGGTGGGAGCCAGGGTCTCGTTACATAACTGGCCCTGTCACTTCTCGACAGGAAGGAGCAGAGAGTTATCCGCATGTATCTTTGCTTTCTTTTTTCTAAGCTCTAAGGTTCCCAGGAGACTTGCAACCAGGGGACCAGCGGGCAGCGGCTCCTCGTCCCAGGCTAACCCCCTGAACCCGTCTCCAACCTGTAACTGTTTCCCTGAGTCCACGCGGCCAGCTGGCTCACTTCTGCCTGTGGCTTTCTTTCTAAGAGGCCGAGGCAGCCTCTGAGCAGCCCGATCGAATCCTCTCGTCCCGTGTACTTTCACTTTGCGTGTTAAATTCACTTCCTCTTGTGCTAGCGTTTTTGGCTCTGAATTCTCTCTTTGCTGAACTCAAGAACCAAAGCCGGCATTGCCAGTAACGCTGGTAGGTGATGCAGCATACTGCCTAATGTTCCTGGTGGTAATTAATACGCTCACTGAAGAGGAAGGCTGTATGGTCTGCAATCGAATTCTCATCCATGCCATCTCCTTGACAGAGATCTTTCTGACCCCTCGTCCTTCCAGAACATTCCATCGTCTCCTAGGGCCCTGTCCGAGTGGCTCATCTAGGACCCATTTTGAATTTACCATGGCGATCGAGTTCTCAAGCATGCACTTCTGTGACCCAAAGAAGAGTGGTGTCCCCCGGCCGGCGTAGATCAGTGGTTGAATGTCAACCTGTGAACCTGGAGGTCACGGTTCAATTCCTGGTCAGGGCACATTTAAAAAAAAAAGAAGAGTAATGTTGACTCTTACCTTCCCAAGGGCTGTGGTGAAAGCGGGCAGCCTTTGCCAATTAGGGGCATTTTATTTTATTTATTATTTTTTTAAAAATATATTTTCATTGATTTCAGAGAGGAAGGGAGAGAGAAACATCAGTGATGAGAGAGAATCATTGATCGGCTGCCTCCTACACACCCCCAACTGGGGATCGAGTCTGCAACCCGGGCACGTGCCCTTGACTGGAACCGAACCTGGGCTGACACTCTGTCCACGGAGCCAAACCAGCGAGGACAATTAGGTGCATTTTAAACCCATGCCAGGGAGTGGCATTTCAAACCCACTGCTATCCTTGGCAAAGCCTGGCCAAGAGAACCCGTCTTGATGAAAGGGACCTGTAGGGGGCGCAGTCACACTCCCTAATTGGTGTGTGTGCAATGCGGGAGTTTTGTTAAAAGGAAGATTCTGGGTCAGTGTGTGTGTGTGTGTGTGTGTGTGTGTGTGTGTGTGTGTGTGTTATACATGAGGCATGTGAATATATACAGAAAATGTGTATATATATGGCTGAATTATGTGCCATATTATTACCATAACTGACCTCAAAAATGTTCACTTCACACTAATCTTTCTTTACATCTCCACCCTCTCACCCAAACCCTCAGCATTTTAAGGGAAATTCCAGACATCGTAATATTTAAGCTGTAAATATGTCAGGATGGATGCCTAAAAGATAAGGACTAAACACATACACACAAGCATAATCTCTTAAAACTTTCCTGCTAAACATCCTATTCTCCTTTAGCTTTGGAAGGAGGACTCGAAACCAGCTCTTTTTTTCCAGAGGGAGAGGACGATGGCCAGGGGAGGCCAGGGGAGGCCCGGTGGAGGAGGGAGGAGGGAGGAGGGAGGAGGGAGGAGGGAGGAGGGAGGAGGGAAGAGGGAGGCTGGGGCACAGAGAGGCTGAGGTTAGGAGCACAAAGCCAGCCATCCTGCTGGCATTGCATTGTGTGCTTTTTTCTGCTTCATAACCTGGATCAATACCCATGCAATTCTGAGTTTGAAAAATGCCCATCCCTCCTTTTGTGCCATCTAAGTTGCCTTCTTTTATCAACAGAAGTCTCCTTTACCGCCTTAAGGAAAATGTCCACTGTGGAGTGCTGCAGTGCAAGGCGGGCGGGGGCGGGGCGGGTTCCCGGCGAAGGCCCTAGCCCCCAGGGAGGAGGTGTCCGGGGCAGGGGCGCTCCCATTCTCAGCCGGGGAATCTCTGTCCCCCCAGGACTGTTTCCCGACTGTAAAGGGAGGACGATGCTCATCTACAAAGGCGGGTAGTAAAGGTCGTTACAAGCTTTAATCTCTGCAACAAGTAGTCAGAAAACCAAAGAAAAACACTTTTAGGAAGTGAAAAATCCCAACAAGATGGTCCATCCGCTGTAGGCATTTAGACGGGTGTGAGCAGAGCAAGGACGATGGGCCTGGTAGGAAGGGCGCCAGGTGGAAGGCCCCAGGTGCCTGGCAAGGGACAATCAGCGGTAGGGTGGGGCCTCGCCCCCAGTGTGACCTTTCCTTCCCTAGCTATCCTGGTCACTGGGTTTAGACCCCCTGACCTTTCCTCCGGGAGATAACATCCAGGCCTCAGTTGTATTGCAGCTCTGGGCCAGATAAGCAACCAAACCAGCCACGCTGACCTCAGGACCAGCTGCATGGAATAGTGACCCCCTGCCCAGGTGCCGGCCAACCAGTGGGGACCACAACCCTACAAGGACCCACCTAGAAAACCGCAGGAAATTCTATAGATCTTCCCTGGGAGCTGCCTACAGTCTCCGCCCTTAAAGCCAGTAGGAGGGAGGACCCCGTGTGCTCTCCCTCCCGGGAGCGGGCCCATACCTTTCCCCTCCCTTCCCTTCCCTTCCCTCTCCTCCCCTCCCCTCCCTCCCCTTCAGGGATACCGCTCCCCCCCCCCCCCCTTTATCATTAGCTTCCTCACTCCCAAGTTCCAAGGGCCCTTCCTTTACCTCCATAACTCGTTTCCTAAGCCCATTTCTTCTAGGAATTACTTCTTGTACTCCTGTGATTTACCCAATAAATGTTCTCTTATAGTTTGGGTCTTGCCTCTGAATTCTTTCCTGACCTGAACCCAAGTAGGGAGGTTGCTAAATCCAGGTTTGGCCTGAGCCCACCGGTCAGACACCCGGTGCCTTTCAGCCGCCGACAATACATCCCCCTGCGAGGGGTGCCCATCTGCCCTTCGGGGTCTGCCCACCCAGCCCGTGAGAAGGCGGGGCCGGGGGAGGCGGTCTCGGGGCTCAGCACTGCGCGGCTGGACTTGACCCGGAAAAGTGAATCAGCAGCGGGCGTAGCCGGCCCAGCGCAGGGCTGACTCATTGTGGCCTGGGCGGGCCTGGGCGGGGCGACCCGGGAGCGGGGTGGAAGCTGATTGGACCATTCGGACGTGGGCGGGCCAATTGGGTGTCTGGGTGGGCGTGACCAGACAGGGAAGGGCGGGGCCGGGTGGGAGGAGTGGACACTTAGGGGGGCGGGGTGGTAATCCGGGCGGGAGCGCCGACCCGGGCCGACTGGGCGGGCTCGGGCTGGGCGGACCCCGATTGGGCGGGCTCGGGCTGGGCGGACCCCGACTGGTCGGGCTCGGGCGTGGCGGACCCCGATTGGGCGGGCTCGGGCTGGGCGGACCCCGATTGGGCGGGCTCGGGCTCGGGGGGCCGGGGCACCCGCGGAGGCCTGAGGCCAGGGAAGGCGGAAGGACTGGGCCAGCCCAGCCTCCGAGCGCGGAGCCGCTCCCTCTCGCGCTGCGGCGGGATCCGCGGAGCCCGCGCCCCGACCCCGAGCGGCCGGCGCCATGGACTCGGCGCTGCTGTGGTTCTGCAACTGGAGCGCCCTGGGCGTGTGCGTGGCGCTCAAGCTGCCGCAGATCTCCGCCCTGCTGGCGGCGCGCAGCGCGCGGGGCCTCAGCCTCCCGAGCCTGCTGCTGGAGCTGGCGGGGTAAGTGCCCTGGCGGCCGGGCCTTCCTCCCCCGCCTCTGCCTGCGGGAGCCCCGAGAGCCCGGGGAGGAGGTGGTGGGGTGGGGGCGAGAGCCCCTGACCGCGGGGAGGGCGCCTCCCGGGCATCACTGCCCCTCGTGATTTGCTGCCCAGCCTCCTGCGTGGAAGGACCCGAGCGCGCACACCCACGCTGAGATGAGGAAACCGGCGCCCAGTCAACCATCTCTCACTCCCCCGTGAGTGACGAAAGCGGCTGTGGCCGTGAGCCAGGCCGCTGCACCTGCAGGCTCTCCGGTGCCGTCACCTGTCACCCAGCGGCGTCCGGGTCCCCGCGGCCGCACCTCCACGGTGCTCCGGGTCACCCTGGAGCTGAAATCGTTCTCGCCTGGCGAGCGGTCCCTGAGCCGGGGGAGTGTCCGGACACCGCACCCCGCGGGCCTGGGCGATGCTGGCGTGCGCAGCGCCCCCCGCCGCCGGGAATGACCGCACCCCCCCCCCGCGGGCCACGCCCCGCTTTGTCTGCGTGACGGGCATCGCGGCGCCCCGGCGAGGTTCGCAGGGCGGACCGGCAGCAGGATGCATCTCCCAGAACCCCTCCTCCAGGGGTCTGACTGAACATCACCCCCAACCCCCCCAGCCTCACTCCCTGGCTCAGACCTCGGTTTCTCGCCTGTAAGATGAGGGGTTGGACTTTTCCGAGGACCCTGGGACTTTAAAACTCCACGTTTTGGGGTGGGGTGGGGTGGGGTGGGGCGGATGAGGAGAATGGGGGGCTCTTTAGAGGCCGCGGAGGAGGGACACTGGGTTGAAGGGTGGGGAGACCAGCAGAGGCCGCTCCCGGAGACGAAGGTTCACCCATCAGAATCGGGGTGCGGGCCCTGACTCCGTGTCTAAAGACCTACAGGAAGTCGCAGACTAGGAGGACTTGGCCAGGAAGATTCGAATGAGGGGGACAACCTAGAAACCTAGCGGTCTAGCCCCTCGCTCCCCCTTCTCTCCTGCCCACCCCCCTCCCATCTCCCGGAGGCTCTGAGGGCCTGCCCTGGCACCAGCGCTCGAGGAGGGGCAGCCGTGGGGCACCCCCGGGATCCGGATGGGGATTCCAGTCTGGGAAGGAGGGCGGCAGAGGAGCGGGGGGGGGGGGGGGGGGGGTGGAGGGTGAGGGGCCCAGCCAATGAGAGGCCTTGTCTGGAAAGGCTTGGCAGAGGGGAGGGTGAGTGACCCTACCCCCTGGGCGGGAAGATGAATGAACCTGCACCGGGAAGACTGGCAGGTGCCCGTAGAGCCAGGAGCCTGCCCACTCCCTGCCCGGCTTCCGGCTTCCGGAGATAAAGGAGTCCAGGGCTTGACCTTCACCCAGCCCCTCCCCTGTCACCTTATCTAACAGTTTCCTGAGCAAAAACCAGCCCTCTGGCAGGGCTGCGGCTCCTCTGGCCCCGGAGCCTGGGGTGGGCGTCGAGCGGGGTGGCTGGTCTAAGGGTCCGGCAGGGATCATGCGTGGAGGCTGGCGCACAGAGACGCCAATGAGAGGACTGGACACAGAGAGGACCCCGGAGCTGCGGGGGGGTGGGGGGGGCGGACAGACGACTGCTGTCACTTTGCTGTTACTGGAACAGCTGTCCAGACAGATTTCCAGCTTTGGGGACAGCAGACCTGTCCATCTCCAATCCTGGTCAGCCCACTGCCCTCCGTAAAAATCATTGTGACCATCCTAACGCCTGTGCGGGTTACACCCAGAACCCAGCCGGGAGGGATGCTCCAAAAACCACAGAGATCATGACCTGAACATTCCACCCTGTGTTCCATCTTCCTCCTCACACCTTCGGGCTGCAACCACTCTGGTGCGGCTGGCCTCCCTGTTGGGTCAGCGAGTTCAGGGGTGCCCTCCCTCTCCCCAGGTTCCTGGTGTTCCTCCGGTACCAGGTTTACTACGAGTACCCGCTGCTGACCTACCTGGAGTACCCCATTCTCATCGCACAGGGTGAGGCGCCCTCCCCTCCCCCCTCCTCCCCTCTAGCCCCCCAGCCTCCACCCCTCCACACCCCCCCCCCCCCCCCCCCCCCCGGCACTGCCCTGGCCCCGCCTCCCTCTCACACGGAGCCTTTCCCCCCAGATTTCGTCCTGCTCCTCTGCGTGTTCCGTTTCAGCGGGAACGTGTACCGGGCTGCGCCCTACGTCGCCCTGTATCCTTCTGCGTTGGAGGGTGGAGATGGGCCTCGCTCAGCAGGCCCGTTACCCACCGTGCCTTGTTGGTGGCGCTAAAAAGAATCCCAAATGCAGACTCCATGCGAGCCAAGGTCTCCACCGCCCAGAGGTGCCCTCCCCTCCCAGGCCAGGGCACCCGTGGGGCCAGCTGGCCGCATGGGAGGTGGATTGGGAGCTCCCTGCTGGGCCTGCTGAGCAGAAGCCCCCCCTGCTACCAGCTCTAACTTTTCTTTAGGGGGAGATGTCCCCACAGAATCTAAGTTACGTGATGAGAATGTCTGACATTAACGCAGTGCGCTGACACACCTGGTCACCTGTTAGCTTGCTCAAGGTCAAGGTCAGGCCCCTCGTGCAAACTTCAGGAGGGTCTCAGCGGGGGTGCGGTCCTCACACAGACACATCCCATCTTCCTTGAGCCAGGTACTGGCTTTCAACTCTGTAAAAACTCCCTCTCTTGTTGACTTTCACACCTTAAAGGGCCAGGCAAGCCTTTGATTGGCAGTCAGTTAAACCTGCCACACCTGGGACTTGTGACCTGGTCTTTCCCAGAGAGGAGAGGGGGAGGTGCTGCCGGCCTGTCTGCCCCAAGTGCCTTGACCCCGCTCCGCCCTGGGCAGCCCTGGCCATGGCCCGTACCCCCTCTAAGCTGCTGCTGCCCGTCTGTGAGATGGGACAACGATGCCTCTTTAGGGTTTTTGAGGGAACTAGCAAGTCCTGGGAGCACAGGACAGGCTGAGGGCCTGGCACAGTCGTTGTGGCTGTTTTTCTAGAAGCCCCTCTGCAGAGTGGAGCTGGGTGTGCACAGTCCCGACCCTCTGCTGTTTGATCGTGTTTCCCCCTGACTCAGTTTCCCTCTGCAAACCCAGGGATCGCACAGTCCTCCTGCCCTTGGGCACTTCAAGGTTAGCCCCAGCTGCTTAAAAGTTTTTGAGCACAGAGTACTCTGACGTTGAACAGCGTGGCGTGATTTACTATTTAAATAAAATGCAACAACTTCCCTTTGTGCCAGTGGGGAGGCTGCAGATTCGATAATGTGGGTGCCCTCGGCACCTCTGGAATGTCAGCGGGATGTTCATCACCGCCTCCTGTCGGCTGTGACATATGGCACCTAAGTAAGTAGGGTTGCCACCTTGGTAATGAATGACTTTCTAGCACAAATATGTCCCAAATATTGCAGGGGACGTAATTACATGAATCAATTGTTTAGGATCTGAAATTCACATTTAACTGGGTGCCCTGTATTTTTATTTGCTAAATCTAGCCACCCTACAGAAAAGTCATCTCTAGGATCTCGGTAGTGGCTAGTGTAGACCAAGTTTTATAAAATGTCTATCAGGGATGAATGGAATGAGGTGCAGTGGTAGAATATTGGACAAAAATTACTGCAAATGTTCTTTTTTAAAACAGAGCCAGCTTTCATCCACCTGGATTCAGGCTGCCTTTCTGGTGTCGCCCAGGTGGCTAGTAGCTAGTCTACTGACTTTTAGCACAGAACATTGTCTGTTTCAGTCCCTTCATTTAAATAATGTTCTTAATGACACTCACAGCAACCTGCTGGGTCCCTACAATGAGCCACAAAGCACTGAGTAGGAAGAGGGGGCAAAGAATGTTAAGTCCATTTTGCAGATGAGCAAACCAAGGTGGAGAGACAGGACTGAACTTGCCCGTGGTCACAGCAGAGGTCCCGGCGGTCCTCAGGGCCTGGCCACGCCCCTCAGCTTGTCCAGCTTCCCCAGCTGCACTATTCCTCCTGTCAGCCAGCTCTGCTGCCCGCTGCTGTCACCCCATTTTCACACAGGGGCTCGGGAAGAGGGGAAAGAGTTTCATGTGACACGGGTTTGCAGGACGTGCCTGCTTTATAATGTTGGCCCCTTGTAAGAGCTGAACTCAGGACATCACACAGGCGACGTCTGCAGGGTCGGGAATGAAACCGGAAGCTAAAATACCCTGGGAATTCCCAACCCGGCAGCAGGCCGAGCGCTCAGGGCTCTGTGCCTTCTCCCATAAGCCGCTGCTGTGCACTGGACTCCTGGCTCACGAGCACTGGGAGCCAGCCTTGTCTTTTCCAAGTCTACCAAGTTCTCACCGGGGTCTGGGGTAGTTTCCATGGCACCGGCGAGGCTGCCGGAGCCGCCAGGGAAGCCACTTCCTTAACACTTGGTAAGATTTGTGACGTCCTGGTTCCTGCTCACCCTGCAGAAGTGGATCATAGACCTGGCCGTGGTGAGTGCCGCCCGAGACAGCAGCCTGCCACTCCCCTCTCCCTGTCACCGGCCCCGCCGAGCACCCAATAGATCAAATGTTCAACCTGCTCATTTCCACCCGCACGGAAGGGCGGTGGGGAGAAGGGGCAGGCTCTCCAGACAGGGAGCCAGTATTCCCACGTCCGTGCTGGGAAGTGTTTTACTTCCCTTTCTGCGCCCTGGAGAACCAGATTGGGACCTGAGCCGAAGTTAAAGAGCTTCCGGTCCGGTTAGTCATTACATATTGGCCACTTACGAATTCTTTTTGTCCTCCTTGGAAGAGGGTACTGAGCTCTATACTAGTGCTTCTTTCCTTCCTGGTTAAGGGCCCAAATGCGCATGCTGTGGGAATAGGATGCCAATGGGGGTCAGGTGACTACAGATCTCTCCAGGTGACAGAGTGGAGGTTTACACCCAGGGGAAGAGAGGGCACAAGTTACTGCCTGCCACACCCAACCCATGCATTTCACCCCCTTCCCCCCAACATCTAAGCACCCTTCTTCCTTCCAGTCCCGTTCTGGGTTGGACTCTGTGACAGAGAAACCGGATTGTCCAGGCCTTGGTTAGTCCCCAAAGGAAATGCTCTACTCCACCCGCAGCTGAAGTGGGTTTGTAGAGGTGCTGGGTGGGCGCAGCCAGGCAGCAGGCCAGCGGGTCGGGGTCCTGGCAGGGGTGCAGGGCCTGGTGCGTCACCACGTGGGCTCATTACAGGAGCCAGAAGTCCAGAGGTGACGCCCCAGCCGCTGCTGTGACTCTGTGAGCCTGTAGCTCAAAGCGGCCTGGCCCTCCCTGGGCTCTGAAACACAGTAAAGTCTCTCTCTCTCTATTCTTCAATATCTTTTTTAAAAATGATTTCAGAGAGGAAGGGAGAGGGAGATAGAAACATCAATGATGAGAGAATCATGGATTGGCTGCCTCCTGCACGCCCCACACTGGGGATCGAGCCCACAACCCAGGCCTGTGACTGGGAATTGAACCGGTGACCTCTTGGTTCATAGGTTTGATACTCAACCACTGAGCTAAGCCAGCCGGGCTGGGCCTCTCTTTTTATTGCGGGAGGGGGCTGATGAGCCTCCTGGCCAAGCAGTGACTTTTCTCACTCCCATCTTCTCACCAGCTTCAGGCGGCAGGTGCTCACCCAGCAGAGGAGATGGCGGGTTATCACTAACCTGGGTCTTGCCCTGGTATAGATGGGCTATTCGCTCACCTGAAATGGTGGCCTTCCGTCTCTGATGCTCTTTTCTCACGAGGGGACTCCTAACTTTCTCCCGTTTTACCTGCCACAGAATTTATGTACTTTCATCAGCGCGGCCAGTAAGTTTGCGCAGCTGCAGTGCCTGTGGAAGACGCAGGACTCCGGGGCGGTGAGCGTGCTGACCTGGGGCCTGGCTTCCTACACCAGCGCCAGTAAGAACAGACTCCTGCCACGGGAGTCCTTCCCTGAATCCGCATCCACCCCGGGAAGAAGGGGAGGGGGAGCTCCGTTTCCTTTATTTATAAAATAAGGGGGTAGACTTCAGTGATTTAACATGGATTTTAGTTAGTGGGAGCCTTTCAATGAACCTTTTCAGGGGCTTATTATGTAAATGAGATTTTCAAAAAATTGGGTTTGGGGTGGGCAAGTGTGAGTTAGCACAGAGCGGAAGGGGAGCTCAGCCGGGGCATGGCTGGCTTTGCTGCTTTATGAAATACTGCGCTAGTGAGGGTTCTGTGCTAGCCAAGTCTTTCAGGAACAGTGAGCATCAAGTCCTGTCTTTAAAGTGAAAAGACATTCGCTAAATACCAAACTGTCTGAGAAGCGAGTTGGTATTTATTGCCAAAAATCTTCTGTTGCAGCAAGAATAATAACTACCTTAATGACCACCAATGACCTCACAAGTAAGCAAAATATTTTTCTGCCACTTCCTTTTTCAATGCCTTTTGCCGCCTTCGTTTGTCAATGTCCTTAGCAGGTCACCGGCTCCCCTGTGTAATGCATGTAGAGGCCAGGCATATACTCCTGGTCTCCGCCAGTCACCGTGTTTGTACTGAGCATCTCCTTTGTGGTGCCTGGTAGTCGGTTCCTATCTTTGTGGAGCGTCCGCACGGCCAGTGGGAATGGACAGGAAAGCAACCACACACTTAGCTACTGAAAAATACTGTGAACTGTGTTTGAAAGAGTAGGACGGGATGGGCACCCGCAGGGAGCCTGCCGGGATGGAGGAAGCTGGGAAGGTCCGCTTGAAGATGGGTGGCCTGGAGGAGGTGGGAAGAGACTGCTACAAGCAGCAGCGTGAGGTCAGCAGCAGAGAGGACACAGGCCTGGCCTGGGAGTGTCAGAAGGCGGGACTGCACATGGGGTGCCCGAGGAGGGCAGGGAAGGTGGTGTCATGATGGTCCAGCCCCTCAAACAGCCCACAGCAGCGGAGGCCCTTGAAAGCAGGGGAGGGACAGAATCTTTTGACTCCATGTCCTTGCTTTTCTTAAAAGGGTTCCTGTGATGGAGAAAATGCGTGGGTTACCCTACGAGTTTTTAACTCCCAAACTGTGCCTGTACAAACATTTTGGGAAATGTTTACAACAGATGGGGTTTGTCGCGGACACTTTGTCGCTCTTAGAGGGAGTGAGGGAGTGAGCGTGCTGTGGTCGAAGCACAAACTTGGGCCAAGAGAGGAAAGGGAAGGAGGCAGGCCTTCCTCACAGGACCTAAGTCCCTGCGTGGAAAGAAGGGCCAAACCATAACCCAACAGAACCACCTGCTACTGAGAATTAAGTTTAAAGATTGAGAACGTTCTCACTTGTTTTGTGACACCTGTCCCAGAAAGTGATCCCTGCATCTGGAGATGACCTTTGAAAACCCGTTCAGCTCATTAATACCTCATACTAGTAAGCGGCTTACACCAGGCAGACCTCATCAAGTCTTTCCCAGGAGTGCTCCGCCACCAGCACTTTTTTTGAGAGCCATGTTTCCATGGTTACCTCAATATAGACTGGGCTTTGACGTCGTGCATTTTTTCAGGTTGACCTTAAGAGAGTGCTCCACACCTTTCCTTCCCATGCGGTGTTCTGAGACGCCCCTCACTGCCCTCAAGACTTAAAAATATGACTAAAGGGGAGTGAACAGTTGTAATATTCCTTGTCAGCCAGAGCCAGATTCCTCCAAGTTAAACACTGAAGATGAGAATTATTCATGAAGTTAGGCCAAGTGGCCAATGGTAGTCATGATGGGAAGATCATTTTCCCAGAAATATTTGGAACCACATTTGGGACCAAAGTTGTTCAAAAGTTCTCATGATCTGTAGTTCATTTCTTTGAGGGGGAGGGGTGTGTGGAGCTTTATTTAGGCTTTTAGAGCAGAATGATTTTGTTCTCTGATGTGAAAACAGTATTTAACATATACTTTTTCTCTTCTTGGCTGCCTTCAGTCCTTATACGTTTTGTGGTCACGCTGGCTTTAAACCTGTGGGTGACAGCGACAGTCCTCCGCTACCGGAAGACGGGTGTAAAGGCTGAATGATGGATGGGTAATTCTGACACACAAAGTGGATTTGGAGTAACTGAACCAAAGGAAAGAAGAATTCATTGCTAAATCGAGGTCTTTTATAAATTAGTCAATCATTTCTGAAACTCGGGAGCCAAAGGTATTTTAGACTTGAAAGAGCCATTCAAACACGTGTTTAAAAATGACCCTCCACCCCCCACTTTACTAGGTCAAGTTGGGACACGGACATCTGCAGTGTTGAGAAGGTTGGTGGTTAATGGAAACCATCCAACAACCATTTTGAGATTGCTTTGCCTCTTAAAAGTCATGATTAAGTTCTCTCCAAAGAGCTGACTTTTCAGCTTTCAAAATCTTTTAAGAAATAAGTCCTCTCCACAGAAAAAATGAGCATCAAGTGGGTTTTGCTTGGTCAGAAGAGTTGTATTCAATTACTAGGGGTTCACTTTCTGGGACTAGTGTCTAATTGCAACAGATATGACAGGATGGCTTTATTGTATCATAATACAGTATAATACCTGCTTACGTGTCACAAGTCCTTCAGGGCAAGCAAAAATGTAACTGGCTTGAATTCATATGCCACAGCAGTCCTTTAACTTCATACTGTGCCTTTAAGTAATTCCTAACAAAATGTACTATTGGATGCAATCTCTGTGATGAAGCAATTCACTTTCTGATTTAAGCACAATGCTGCCTTTTTTTAAAACTGCTTTTAATATATGTGTGTGGTGTGTGTGTGTATTAGTACATATACACACACATATATATATACACATACATATATATATTGATTCTGGAGAGGGAGATGTAGAAACATCAATAATGAGAGAGAATCATTTCGCTGATTGGCTGCCTCTTGCATGCCTCCCTCTGGGGATCAAGCCTGCAACCCAGGCATGTGCCCTAACCAGAAATCGAACAGTGACCTCCTGGTTCATAGAACAACGCTCAACCACTGAGTCACACTGGCCGGGCAATGCTGTCATTTTTATAGAGGCCACAGCCATGCAATTAACCATTCTTAGAATTTGGTACAAAATACAGCTTATCTCGACCAGGTTTTGTGTATTGAAAATATATGTAGTAAAGGGTATCGCTGAGTTCTGGCAATCCTTATGGATTCTATTCTCATTACAGTATCATTCTAAACATGACAAGATTATTATTATACATGGTATTTTTCTATAAAAGTTTATAAAGCCTAACACTTAAAAAACTCTTTTCCCCCTTATAACTGAATGGCATTATTGTGTATATACATATATGCAGTAAGTAAATGATGCTTATTGGATGTTTTGGTTTCCTGTGTAAAATAAACTTTCAAATTTTGAAATCTGCTGAGTCTTAAAACTGTTTCAATGTGATTAGTTTTCAGTTATGTAAAGTGCCATTTAAAAATATAGATTGTGGTTAATCCTTTTAGAACGACTGCTTGGGAACAGCAGGAACAGAAACATGGCATCTAAAAATAACATCATTCATTCCGTAGTTCTTAGATCATAGTTGTCACTTTTTAAAAATCCAAGTAAATCCTTTCTCGTGTGCAGTTACAATCTGTTGGTATACATACAAATTGTGACTTTAGTCCAACAAATATTTACACATACTTTTCTTATTAGTACTTTATCATTGTTTAAGCAGTGGTTCTCAACCTTCTGGCCCTTTAAATACAGTTCCTTGTGTTGTGACCCAACCATAAAATTATTTTCGTTGCTACTTCATAACTGTAATGTTGCTACTGTTATGAAACGTAATGTTACCACCTGATATGCAGGATGGTCTTAGGCGACCCCTGTGACAGGGCCGTTTGGCCGCCAAAGGGGTCGCGACCCACAGGTTGAGAACCGCTGGTTTAAAGTCACTCCTTTAAGAATATGCCCCCTTGGAGGGCAGTCTCCATCCAAGGGAAGGGAATAAACGTTTGAGCCATTTCAGACCCTCCACACCAGTTTCCGAGCTAATCCCACAAGGACCCTGGCAGTAAACCATCTCCATTTTGCAGATGAAGGCACTCAGCTCGGTGAGCGGCCTGGCCCAGGTTAGAGCCAAGCCATGTCCAGGAAAGAACGCACTGATTACCAGAGAAATGCTTCCTGGAAACCACCTGTCAACACACTAGTCTTACAACACAGGCACCCTGGCTCTCCTCTATTCTCAACACAAGAGCGGAGGTTTGCACGCCCCTTAAAATGCCAACATCAAATCAGAGGCAGACCCCTGGGTGAAGCTACCTTTTGTATTTCTCTGCGCGTAAACGACAGGGCCAAAGATTCACAAGTTAACCACCATGCATCCAAAACGGAAACCATCCCCACATGCCACGATATTTTGAATTTAAAAAAACAACAACTAGCCCTAACCAGTTTGGCTCAGTGGATAGAGCGTCGGCCTGCGGACTCAAGGGTCCCAGGTTCGATTCCGGTCAAGGGCATGCACCTGGGTTGCGGGCACATCCCTAGTAGGAGGTGTGCAGGAGGCAGCTGGTCGATGTTTCTCTCTCATCCATGTTTCTAACTCTCCCTCTCCCTTCCTCTCTGTAAAAAATCAATGAAATATATTAAAATAAATAAACAAATAAAAATACAATAAATTTGCAATGAATATTATAAAAATAAATATATTACTCACAATTCGGTTGTTCTTGAATATTTTCAGCTGAAAATTCTCACGAAAAATGATTTTAAAGTTGGTCAGGGCTGCCACTTAGGGAAAATATTTTCTTCCTAGAGACGCGCGTGGTGTGTGAGGAAGGCTGGCTGCTTGTGTCTACAGATGCTTATGGTATACAATGGGTTAAGTTTAGTTATGACTTGTTGGCTATACCCATCTTTTTAGGGAAGGCAAATTTTGGGAGTAAATTTTAGGTTGCAGCATGCCAGGAGTATTTCACAGGAAAAGTATAAAAATGCTTGTGTCTTAATTATTTATTTTTTAATATAAAAAGCAGGCATAAAATACAATTACATTACTACAAAGATGCAGCAAATTTAAAAGAAAGAAAATCAGGGGGATATGATTTTTGTTCAAAGGGGACAGCTGATCAAATATTTGATTATCTAAACCATGCAGTTCAACTTAGTACAACTTCAAACAAAACTCATGGGGAAGGGAACCAAGGAGCCGACATGACGTCCCCCCAGCATAACACCCGGCACTGTCACACAGCGCCCTTCCTCAAAGTGCTTCCCGGGACAGCCACAGCCGCGGCCTCTCCCCGCCGGCGGAAGCTGAAGCCCACCGGAGGACGGGAGTCAGCAGCAGTGTCAGTGCAGGCGGAGCAGCTCAGGTGTGACTTCCTCCCGTCGGAGTATAGAAACAGGCTTCTTGGAGCAGCTCCACAGGGGCACGTGGTGCCGAGGCTTGGTGGCCACCAGGGTCCTAGACCAGATTAGCAGCAGCCGCAGCACTTCTGCAATGGGGTCTGGCCGCCGAGCGCTCCTCCAGGACCCAGGCAGACAGAACGCACCTGCGAGCCAGACTCCTGTACTCAGCGTAGGCCAGCTGCAGACACTCACCTACATTTTAGATTGACTGGGACACTTATCCTTTGGCTACAGCATTTTAAAAGTTCAGATTAAAAAAAAAAAATTCTTGCTTCTAGATAACAATTTTTTAAATACTTTTCAAAAATTCACTATACACCAATTTTCAACAGTAATACCAATTTTACTTCTACTTGTCTCACTTATCCCCACGAAAGTACAAAACTCTAAGAAAATCCCAGTATTCACTACTTCTTAGTTCTCAATAGGAGGTATTTATGGCTCTAGGAGAAATCAGGTGTGAGAAAAGAAGCAACTTTTGGTCTTTTATTTATCTTGGAAGCTTTGGAGCCTCCAGAAAAAGAGAAGCTGGCACAAAATCTGGCTGTTACACCAAGTCAGTATCACATTGAGTGAGTGCTGGGAAGAGAACATTTGGGTAGGTGCATGCATCATTCATGTTCGTACATGAAACCAGCAACAGGGTAAAAAGCAAATTCTTACCCAAGGTCAGAATCTTTTATTAAGCACATTTCTGTTAGCTGGACAGCTTTATAAATTCTTATGTCAAACCACATAATGTGAATAATCTCCATGGGAGAGACTTGGTTCACTCCTTAGATTATCTTCCCCCAATCCCCAACAGTCACATTGATCTTCCTTGTATAGCTGCATCACACCATGATTCTCCATATTCTCTAATATATACAGCATTCAAAATTTAAACTTTTGCCATTTTTACTCAAATATTTCAATTATTCATGTGTAAACTTCAAATTATTTTACCTTAATAAAGTTTATTAAAAATATATATATATATACTCTCCAATTCAGAATAATATGATAGAACCTCCCATAGTGTAACAAAATCTTTATATAAAATATTAATTCAGTCTCCTTTTAACAAGTCTAATGAGTGGAAATATTTATTCTATATAAATTTTATATATTTTTCATTTTAAAATCTTACTTTAAAAAAATCTGTGCCCCCAAACCAGGACCACAGAACACACCTGCGAGGGACCGCCTCCCGCATGCCGCGAGTTTCAGCACAAACAGCCGAGGGCGTGCCGACCGACACGGGAAGAGTAACGAGATTCCGATTCAGGACGTCGGTAGCCACAGGCCACTCTTCAGTTTCCACAACAGTATCTATAACTGGGGACCTAACTTTAAACATCTCCACACTGACCCCCCAGGGAACAATGAAAAATCTCTTAGTTCCTTCATTGAAATATCAGATGCTGTATTTCAGTATCACACCAAACTGTATGTGTTTATGTATATAGAGACTGATAAAAGACTACACAATTTTTTACCTGATGCTTCTCACTGATGCATACTGTCACAGTAAAAAACAGACTTCTGTGGGATGAGAAATACAGCAGAAATGGTCCTGCATGTGCTGCAATTTTAACAGCATTTAAATAAAAAGTTAAGTGCCTTTGAGGCCACTTCTTCCTAGGCACCAGTTTTCACAACCCAATACTGAAATATTGCCATACACAATTGTGTGGATGAGGGATCACATGTCAATACTTAAAATATATCTAGAGTATATTTTAGTTTTCTTTATATTTGAGATAATTTTTGAATGTTGAGTGTGAAATGTAAAAATAGTCACAAATATCCTTACCAGAAATAAAAACATATCTAGGGTAGTCAGCAAATTCCAAGCAAAGAAAACATTTCATAGTCACACACTAATACTGAGGTCTGTAAAAAGGCTTGGATGGATAATAGATATACATAAAAGATATATTAGTTCTAATACTATCCATTATTGTTTCTATCACCATACTTTAAAAAATTGTTAGACAATCAAAATAGGCCGACATTGATAACTATTATTTGTAAAAATAGTGCACTATCTTCTGCAAAGCAAATTTGCATTCTAAGAGTTGGTAAACACTTGTTTTTAATACAGAAAAGGGCTGAGACTTGGAAAAAATTAAATTAAGGCATTCAAAATGGATAAAGTTGCCTATCATGAAGCATTAGGAAACAGATATAATTAAGTTCAAAGTTTCTGTTACAGCAACATGAACATGCAGCTCCATCAGGTCCACACAGATGAGTGTATAACCCCAATGCTATGGCTTTATACAAGTGCATAGTTGCAACTGTAGTAATGATATTTGATTAATGAGTATAAAAAATAAAGTGGGAAGTTAAAAAACCCTCCTGCAGTATTACAGTACTATATATGTGTATGTATATGTACACACACACACACACACACACACACACACACACACAGTATAATGGTCACTTCTTAAAGATGCAGTCTATATCACTGTAGTGAAATCCGTTCTGATTCTTCCGGCGAACATGCTGGTGAAACCTCTCTGCTGAAGCTGAACAGATGACTCCTTTGACTCTTCTCAACCCTCTGTGCCATGTAGTGTGAGTGTGAGTGACCACCAAGAGAGCTTTATGGAGCTTTTGGAAGAGTTGTGTATGATGTTCTTACTCTATTAACCAATCTCCGCTGGTTCAACCTGTTGTGCCAAAGGAGCCTAGAAAAATCTCTCCAAGATTTATAATTTATATTGCAGGAATAAAGGGAATATGTATGTGTGTGTATCAGTCTCTCAGGAAAATACAGCTTTTCAATAAATTTTGGGCCATCATATTTCAGTCTTGTTTTAACTGGAAGAATAGGATCACCTTGAATAATGACTGCATTCATAGAAAGCAGTTAGCTGCAAAGAAAGGAAAAATAAAGTTAGCCGAGATAGTGAAATAATAAGAGATTGTTAAGCATTCCATGTACACCATTAAGCTAGATAGTCTTCCAACGACAAGTTTTAATACCTAAGTCATGCATAAAACATATTTATCGTGCTACTTTTTTTATTTTTAGGTACATGCAATTATAGTCTTTTTCATATTTTCCATATTGCCTACAAACATGACACACAGTTTTAATACAATTAACTGACTGTCAGGTTTAGACAATATGTCACTGAATAACTCATGTGAACATAAATTTGACTTGGAGTTTAACTGCTAGCTGCCTCATGTAGCTCAAAGAACAGTGGACTTATGGACCAGGATTTACTTGACTATTTGACCCTTAAAATCTATGAAATGGAAACATACACATTGTAGTAAATAAAATGTTCTTTATATCCTTGTTATAAACAGATCGCCAATATTACCTGATTGAAGTATGTTTTGCAATGTGCTTACTTAGATTAAGGTAGACCTCTTTTTAAATCCATCCCATGCAAAACATTTAACTCAGGTTAAATTTTCATTCAAATCTACTCCAGCCACTATTAACCAAACTATTTTACATTTTCTAAAAGCACAAGAACTCCCACACCAGATCACTGGCATCCTTCAGCAAGAGAAACATTACATTTCCAAAAAGCAAACATTTCACAGCATCACAAAGAAGCCCAGATCAGAAACAACTATTTCACAGCACTTATTAGACTTACAACGTTTTAACGGTTTCAATTCTTGCAGTTAGAAAGGAAAGAGGAGGAAGGCAGGGAGGGAAGGAGAGAGGATGGAAGGAGAAAGGAACCTCATGCTATGTTCACAAACTAATACAGTTGTAGAAACTTGAAAACATTGCAAATTGTACTTCTCTGAATATGGCTTCTTTGGAATAAACAGAAAGTACCATATTTAGCTGCTTTTGTTATTTCTACATGTTTTGTTCCTAAGATAAAAAATTATAATTCCAATTGTATTGAAAAGTATATAGCCAAAAAAGAATCTGAACATAGCATTTCACTTTTCTACTTAACATAAAAATTTGTTAGGAACTTTTTTGAAAACTACTTTTTAGATATGTACTATTAAAAAATTAATAAAATTTCAAAAGTAGCAAAAAATAATGAAAACCCAAGTGCAAACCGCATGCGCTACTTGAAAGTTGTAAAATAACTCATTTTTCACTTTTTGATTTACCCCATTTATTTCTTCAGAAATCAAAAACATCGTCATCATCATCACCACCATCAACATCATCAAATGACCAATCCCAGTCTTTAAATGCCAAATCAAGCAATCTGTAATGGGAGGTTTGCAAATTTATACTTTACGAATACTCTTTAGAAATGGCAGTTTCATAAATTATGATCTAGAAATCACACTTTGAATGTGCATGAGCATGTTTACTTTCCCTCCATCAATAACATAATTAAGATGGAAACAGCCAGGAAATCTTTCTCTTTTATAAAAATGTATATAATCATGTTGGCCAGGTATGCTTTCTAGAATACCAGAGAACTGAAGACAAAGATAGGAAGTAGTTTTCAGAATGCAGCTTTCTCCATTCCAGTAGGACCTTACTTGCTCAATGGGTCACCAACAGTTATGCACTTCATGAAAAACTACAGATGAGGGAAAATCCACAGGTATGTAACAACATTAGCAACTTATCTTGGCTCAAGAAAATGGACTTACAGCAGAGATATATGTGGTCTTCTTTCCAACCCAATCCAATAATCTAAAATACTGCAATCATCTTTATTTTAAAAATAGGAATAGCTTTTGTTCATGCATCAACTTATGTCAAGGAACTCATCTGGTCCCTAAAGTCTCATCTGTGATCACTGTCCTGTGTTCTTAAATTTTAGTATATGTGATTTTCCCAATGCTATTTATAATATATATTCCCAGGACATATCCCAGGAGATTCTGATATAATTGGACTGAACAAAAGGAGGGCAAATATTTGCATTTTAAATTAAATCCCGAGATAAATACTGATGCAGTTGGTTGGCTCTGAGAATCACTGACAGAGTGGGTTGATGGATGATTACCCTAATTTAAAAGTAAACAAACCAACTCAAATTACTCTATTTAAAAAATGGGCTGAATGCAGAATAATATTTGAAAAACTATACAAACTCCGATATAATTATTTATTTAACAGGTATCTAACACATACTAACTTTTCTAGGCTTACATAGAAAGCAACTTTTAGCTATGGTTTCGACTCTCCCGCTCAGCAGATTGAGATCAGTAGGCCTTCCTGGGTGTCCACCCAATTTTAGCTATTTTATGAGAAACCTGCACTTTAAATCCTTCCAAACCTTTGAAGTGTGTGCCTTTCAAATTTTAAAAGTATAATCACTAGTTCTTGTAGCAGTGCATGACAAGCACTTCCCTTAAAACCTATCCCTCAACCCCTCCCAGTCATCTAATACTTGTCATTTCAACTTAAATCTTTCAGTTAGCCTGGTTTCTCCCACTGTCAGCTCTTCAGGGCAGGACCTCATCAAGTCTAAACATACCAACCTCTTGTGAAAGACTTCAATCTGAAGAACAAAAGAAAAACTCCTGCAGCAAAACGTACATGGTCCCTTTCAACCTGGCTCAACACTTCCTCTCCAGCACCATTCCCTACCACTCCAATAAAAGACCACAAACACTAAGGAATTCTGACAGTCTAGTCCCTCTGCATATCACATTTTGCCTGAGATTGTCTTTTCCCAGAAAATTACTGAGACCCATTTTTTGGACCTCTTTCTTGATGCCTTCAGGCAAAATTCTCCACTCTTTCCTTTGGCCTCCATAATATTAATGAATCTATGATAAACATTTAAGCTTACTGTAAGTATCTGTTTAACTGTCTATCTCATTCATTTAATTCATCACACTCCAGGCCTGTGAAATTTACTGCCAAAGACGGCTTCAGAAAGGGTACATTTAATTCTGTGTTCTGCTAGCAGAACATGAGGGTCCCCATTTCTTCACACCCTGCCAATACTAAGTTTCTTAATCCAGACCAGTTTGGCACGTGAAAATGACTTTAACATTTTAGTTTTAATTTAAATTTCTTCGCTTAATAACCAGGTTGCACTTTTTCATCTTTATGGCAATGCCTGCATATTCCTCACTAATTTTTATATTGGGAAGAGGCAACCTCCTTTTTCTTAATGATTTCTTTGAGAAATATATATATATATAATATTGCAAATAGATGCGTGTTTTTAAAATTTATGAGGCTTTATTTTTGGTTAGTCAATTTGTAGCTTTCTTTTCTTCCTTTGTTTTTATTCTTAGAAAATTCTCCAATCTAAGATCAGATACATTATTTCTTCTAATTCATTTATGGATTTTTTTTGACACTTCAAATTGTATATAACCTTATTAACTTTTTCCAAAAAATTACTGTTAATTTTCTGATATTTAGAAATGAAAAAAAAAAAAAACCAACAAAGATAATAATGACATAATAGCTCCCTCCACTCCAAGTTTAAAATTGTGTTTGCAATGCCTTACTTCATAAAACTGGAAGAGAATTTTTTTGAGTTTTTGCTTTACCCTTTTCTTTAAGGCTTAAATATTGCATTTTTAACAAAAGATCTTTGGTGGTGTGAAAGGGCCTACTATATGGTGATGGAAGATTTGATTTTGAGGGTGGACACACAGTGCAATATATAGACCTTGCATCATAGAAATCTACACTTGAAACCTATATGAGCCTATTAACCAATGTCACCCCAATAAATTTATGTTAACAAAAAAAGATCTTTAAAAGAAAACTAATTAAAGAGAAATGGTCCTCAGCAGAGACCAGTATTTTGTGTCTGGCACTCAAACAAATTAGGATCTCCCCAAACTATCTTCATCAAAAGTCAGCACTTTACTCTCAAAATGTGACACCCAAAAAACGAGTGCAAACTGTATGGTTATTCATATAAGACAAGATATATACAATTTTATGAGTTAATGAAGCAATGGAGGCATAGATGTTAAAAACAATGGAAATATTGTTGCAGAGGCATAATAAAAAACAAAATCATATTTTAAATGTGCCCATCTTTACATTTAAAATGTCAGAGTATATTAGATTAAAATTTTTTCACAAAAATACCCTATGCATTTTACAGTCAGTTTTACTATTAGTTTTATCTACATGCACAGTTGTGAGAGAAAGAAATCCCTATTACTTACTGTTGGCTACGCAAAATGTATTAAAAAATCAATGAAGAATGATTCGAAGGGCAGGGCCAGAACTAAAACAAAACAAAAAGCAACAAAAATCAAAAGTAAAGGTGCCTTTAAATAGACCATGATGCTGAATTGGGGGAGGAGGGGAGAAAAAGGAAAGTCAGTGAACGAGAAACGGTTATGGAAGTGAAGTATGCCTCATTTTGTCTGGAAATTACTTCTTTATATAAATTAATTCTATGTGTTATCATATGTAGTGACATCATTAACTTATTCAACAGGACAAAAGAATAAAAAATATAAAAAAGACTACTGCTCCTACAGTCCTGAAACTAAACCAATTATTTGTCCTTCGAGTCTAAATCATAAAGAAAGATAATACCACCCATCTGGCATGGCTCAGTGGTTGAGTGCCGACCTATAAACCAGGAGGTCACAGTTCACTTACCCATCAGGGCACATGCCTCAGCTGCAGGCTTGATCCCAGTGTGGGAAGCACAGGACGTAACTGATCAATGATTCTCTCTCATCACTGATGTTTCTATCTCTCTCTCCCTCTCCCTTCCTCTCTGAAATCAATAAAATATTTAAAAAAAAGAAAAAGATAATACCAAATCTACCCCATAGGAGTATTTTAAAGATCAAATAAAAGAATACACAGTTAAATTATATATGGAAGCACCTCAAAAGCTGTAGAACATGATATAGCGTATTAAAATGCCATTAATACGCTAATAGTTCTATAATATTAATACTAGAAATTTAATAGTTTTTAGATGTTTGGTACATGGCACACGGAAATGACCCTGAACGTCTCTGAATTCTTTAAGTTTCTTCAGCTTAATTACTATCATATAATCACTAATTTTGTAATCTTTTTAGCATACCTCACATAAAAATTCAACATTTTCACTGCTGAAACACCAATTCTACCTTTGTCATTCTAAATTATTTCCTTGTGATATTAGTTTCAAGAAAAGTTTCTTTTTCTTTATTTTTATTTTTATTTTTTTTTTATTGCTTAAAGTATTACAAAGGGTATTACATATGTGTCCATTTTATCCCCCCGCCCAAGAAAAGTTTCATATAAGATGTCTGTGGTTAGAATGAAAAGATTTCTGATAGGATAGCCAATGAACATCATTATTTATATACTGAAGGTCCTGTGTTAGGGAACAAAGAGGGTACCTGAAATTAGACACCTGATCTAAGTATAGCCTTTAGCTAACCAACTCTTCATGTTCATTTTAATAAATAGCAACATTATCAATGCTGTATCTAGTAAGACAAGACATGGCTTATTCTGAATAAAGAACTACATTACTATACTGTCGCCATATAAAAGTGGTTCCCCCAAAATATTTTTGTGCATTAATGATCCTCTCTGAACTTACGCCATATTCCCAACTCCACCTCAATACAAGGAATGTCCACTTCACCCATGTTAATATCTGCATTTTAAAGCTGATCTATATTGCCCTTTAAATAAAAGACACATTATTGTTTTAAACTTAAATTTGAATTAAGATTTCAGTCCTACCTCCCAAGTCATCTAATATGAAAGAGGTTTAGGAGTTTGCAATATCAAACACGATGTGCGTGCCTGACACTTGGAGCTGGGTGCGCATCCTGCCTACTAAAGCATGAAGTTGGTCAATGTGCTTATCCACCCCTAGAATGCTATGATTATAGACCTAAACATGGCAAAAAATTAGCCCTTCAAATATTTTTGGTTGAGTGTAATATATGTGATTTAGTAAATAAATTTATATTACATTCACCTCAATCAATGAATGAGACATGCATGCTTAAATAGTTTCAAAGATTTGGTATTCCATAATTCATTAAAATATCTAGGAAAATAAAACTGTAATTAGAAAAATTTGTAGTTTGAATATGAATAGTAAAATATTTCTAAAAATATTTTCATCTTTACCACATTTTTAGCTATTACCTTGGTTTATTCGGGGCAAGCTGTCGACTTGGCCGTCTAATAGACTGGTTCTGTTGTATCTTCATTGAAGTTCTAGGAGATGACCGTGCAAAAGGGTCTGGAGCTGGAGGCTTTTTAGGTATCTTTTTCACCAACCGACTAACCCACTTTTGCTGCTCTTCTGTAGAGTTTGCTAATACCAACAGATTCTTTGCCGTTGAAATATCATAGTAGACTACAAAAATATTTGAAAAAATTAATGTGTTTAAAATGATATGAACATAAATATTGATGGAGCGAGTAGTTTACTATTTACCTTTGCAAGGTGCTATAATCTCTTCCTTTTTGTCCATGTGGTCTTTATGACATTTAATATGGCAGCGACGGCATTCCAAAGCAGGAGGAGGTTTGAACATATGCCACAATGGCTTCATACAAGCCTCACAGTTGGTTGGAAAATGATAGAGAGTAGGAATAAATTCATGTCCTTTGTGGCAAATATAATTTGACTTTTCTCCCACTGGCTCCACTGGAAATTCTTGTTCCTTCTTACTTTCTCCTTCATTGGCATACAGAATCTATAAATACCAAAAAGCACAATGAGTGATTTCTAAACAAAAGCTATTTTTTAAATAGTAACAATTCTTATAGCATAAATAAAATGAAATTAACCTAAATTATTCAATAAGAAGAAAATGCACCTGATGTTCTAACATCAGTAGATTCTATCTCATCAAGAGCTTATAGGAGAAAAGTCATTATATAGTCGCTTTGGTTAATTTCAAAAGAATCATTCCTGTTCAAATGGCGCCTCTTTTTTTCTCCATGATATCTTACTATGTTCAGCAGTCTTAGCAGAACAGTCTTAGCAGAACAGGCTAGCAAGGTAAATTTGCACGTGATGGGTGTTAGAAAGTTTTTCTGGGAGGGAGTATTCAAAATAATCGCCTGAAGAGATGTGGCAATTATATGACTTGATGCTTTTATGATTTTCAAAAATAGACAACTGGTGATAATTGTAAACACAGCTATAACTGAAAAGACTTGTGTTTGGAGAGTTAAGGAAGAAAAAAAGGAAAAGATATATGATATACTCCAAATAAACATGATAAGCACCAGAAAATAATTTCCCCATAGTACACCAAACATAATGGCTTTTACACAGAAGGAGCTCATCAATAACTAACTGGTGGTCTAAATTTTTTTTTAAGAAATTTTAATTTTGTTGTTGTTAATCCTCACCCGAGGATATTTTTCTATTGATTTTTAGGGAGAGTGGAAGAGAGAGGAAAAGACAGAGAGAAACATCGATGTGAAAGAAACACACATTGACTGGTTGCCTCCTGCGCGTGCCCTGACCAGGGCCCAGGCTGAAGAGGAGACTGCCACCAAGGTACGTGCCCTTGACTAGAATCAAACCCAGGACCCATTGGTCCACAGGCTGATGCTCTATCCACTGAGCAAAACTGGCTAAGGCTGGTCTGACTAATTTTAAAAAGGAAGTAGTAAAAAGAAGAATTAGGCTTCACTTTAAATCAGAAGGAAAGGGCTACTGGGTTCACATTTTAACTTCACAAGCAACTTTTTTCACTTCCTAGAGAGCTGAGCATAAAACCATCAACAGAAGAGGAAAGTTTATGCTTAAAAAAATGTCATAAGCAACCTTGAACAAAAGAATAGCAAAGGCCAGAAACATGATATAAATACACTACAGACTTTAAAATGTAAAATGGAGAAATGAAGATATATCCAAATAGAATAGGCATGAAAATCACAAAAGAATGAACCATCTTTAAATGGAACTAAAATTTAAAGGTAATTTGAAGATAGCCCAAGAATAAGAAAAATCGTTATGTTATGTCACTCTTAGAATCTCTAAAGGTGAAAGAAAACAAAAAACAAAAAACAAACCATCCAAAAACGAAATAAAACTATGTTTACCTGAAATATCCTTGGAATTTCTTTAGCATCTGCTCTATATACATCTGTCTGTGTAACTGGTCGGACATGAAACAACTTGCTGTAAAAGATTTTTAATAAAGAAATAAACTATTAGCAAAAGGTGAAATTACATTAGTTATCCTATACTAGTCAGAAATTAAAACTGACTACTTTGACCCATGCTAGAAGGTCAGAAAGAATATCTTGCTAATTCTATTACATCAATCACTCCTTGAGACTTGGAGAAAATTTTAGTAAGTCATAAAACTTTCTAATTCATTTCAGAAAACAACTAGTAAAGACCCATGAAATAAAAATGTCTTAGCTAACTTATATCTCAGATGTCCATCTACATGAAGCAAATATACGAAAATGTAACAACAGTCCAGCAGCAGCTATACTATATGAGTAAATAGACATACCAGGTGACCAATACATGCATTAATTTGACAAAAAATGTCATGTTACTCTCTTATACTTTAAAAAATGAAGTTCCTAAATATTCTAATAAAAACACTTACTCTATATCTAAAACCATGTATGGATTAGAATGTTCTTTATCTTGTTCACTGTCATAGAAAAGAATCTTCTTACTGCTTACGATCACATACTGTTAAAAAGAGGAAGGGAAGAAATTAAACAATGTTTAAAATTGATATGTATCTTATTTTCTTTGAAAATAAATTCTCTATCAGCAATAAAAATCATATAAAAAACCTAAGTTAAATAACTAAAAAAGTTCTTAATATACCCTTAGAAAAGTTTTCCCTAAGATAATGAGAAATTCTGTTTGTATATAACTTAAATAAGCAAGTTGAAAATGAACTCAAATATTTTTTTGGACTGGTTCAGCTTAAGATCCAATAACATAGGTTGCCAACCTATAGCTATGGTTTGAATGTTTATGTTCCCCCCAAGTTCATATGTTAAATCCTAACTCCTAATGGGATGATATGAGGAGGAGGGGCCTCTGGAGAAGTGACTAGGTCATGAGAGCAAAGTCCTCATGAATGCGATTAATGGAGTTCCAGAGAGGACCCAGCCTTTTCTACCACGCGAGGACACAACGGGAATTGTGCAACCTGAGAGAAGGACTTTACCAGAACCCAAACAGGCCAGCACTCTGGACTTCCAGCCTCCAGAACTGTGAGAAATAAGTTTCTGTTTTTCATAAGCTACCGAGTTGCAGTATATAAGCCTCAATGAAGTAAGACACCTCAAAGACGAACACAACATCAATACTCATAGTAACAGAGGAAAATAAATAAATGGGTCTTTCTGTCATATCCAGATTTGTTTCCCACCAAAACTTATTTTATTATTAACAATATATTAATGATAAAAGTTATTTTTTACAAAGATATATAAAACCATGTCATTCCAGATCAGACAGTGCAAAAAAGTTTTATGTGTCTGAATGTTTTAGTTATATTACTTATATGTTCTTTATACCTACAAAAGTGAAATGACTGTATGTAGCTAAACCAACCAAAAGCAAAGCAAAAGAACCACAATGAAAAGTAACAATTACCTTTCTAACCCATCCAAACTTCTTAGTGTTGTTTCTCACAGGTAATGAAAGCCATCCCTCTAATCTTGATTCTATAAATACACATAGGAGGATAAATATAACAATTCTAAGAAAATGAGAAATTTAACAATATTTTAATATTAAAGTCACAAAACAAATCAATTATATCCTTCAGAATTTACCATTGCTCATTATCTAGGATATAATAACAATGCGGGATCAGTAAAAGCAAGTTATGCAATGCAAAACAAAATCCAGGTTATATCACATTGGAAATATATATCCTATAGTTTATAAAGTCAAATGCCCTGCTGATTAAATGCATGCATTTGCACAGTTCAGCAGAAAAGCTGCAAAGAAGAGAAGCAGCTCTTTATTCTCACTATACACCTGTATTAGAACCCTTGGTTTTTCCTTTGGAAGGAGGCCTCATTATAGATTTACTGCACATTTTCTTCGAAGAAAAAACATTTTTAAAAATATATTTTATTGATTTTTTACAGAGAGGAAGGAGAGGGATAGAGAGTTAGAAACATCAATGGGACAGAAACATCGATCAGCTGCTTCCTGAACACCCCCTACTGGGGATGTGCCAGCAACCAAGGTACAGGCCCTTGACCAGAATCGAACCTGGGACCCTTGAGTCCGCAGGCCGACGCTCTATCCACTGAGCCAAACTGGTTAGGGCAAAGAAGAGAAAACATTTTAAGGGAGTAATTGCATGTTCAGAGAAAATTAACTTTTAGAATGGCTATAATAAAATTATGTAAATTACAGATTAAAATTGATTAATGCATAGCAATATAACCACATGATTTCTAAATTCCAAAATATCAAAATCAATAAAATTCTAGTAAAGACTGAATCCTTATAATTTGTTCTACTGGCATTTGATCAGCATCTTTCAATAAAATAATTAAGTGAAATAAGCATTTTTGGATATTACTCTATTAATAAAAGTAGCTATCACTTGTTTAACAGCTACTACATGTCTGAATCCGTGCTAGATGCTTTACCTAAACTTTCTTAACTCTTACCCCCCATAGAAAGGTCACACAGGGACTCCAGCGCCTATATACTCTCGGACATCAACACCCTTCCAAACTGTCTGAACAGAAGGAAACGCTGTCATTAAAAAAGAGCCCACGTGCTCGACTGTCTGGACATGGTCCTATGCCAGCTTAAGGCACTAAGTCAGGTGACATCTAACACTGTGCATAAGACTGAAATAATTTTATTGCTAAGCTCTAAAACAACTTCAGCAGGATCACTTATGATTTATATTATATACCTGGGAAATGTGGTGACAATGTAAGTAACTATAGTTATTTTACTTTGAATTCAACTAATAAGAGACTAAATTTTACCTGACATTCAACTGCTCATATATTAATTTCCTGTGGCATTTACATTACATGTTTTTGTATCCCGACTAACTTTGTGTTAAACATAATTTCATGTATTTTTCTATCCTGTTTCTTCATTTAAACGATAAGAGCAAGGATCAGGTCAAATTGTCTTATACTCTCTTTTAAGGCCAGGCAAAATGTTGCCTAGGCAAGCACTTGATAAAAACCCAAACGCGATCTCTGAGACAGTCTACATGCTTTTTCAGTACTGTCACTCTTGATATGAAGCCTTGAAAAGAGTTTCTTCTTGGTTGAAAATGGCTGAAACAGGCAGTGAAACCACATGCCCTTAAATGATACGAAGTACTGTCTCATTTTTTGTAAGCTGACTAAATAAGTCTATCAATTGTCACAGCAATGCCAAGTGCAAATGCCCCCCAAAACAAACTCTTTGTCCATGCAGGAGTCCCTTTTTTAACTGGGACTAGAGCAATTTGTTAGAGTTAGTGAATATTAGTTAATGTTACAAAAGTTTTCCACAAGGACTAAAATTAAGGGTAGTCAGAAAAACCTCAAAGGTGAAAGATTTTCAGGCTATCACCTGTATCATTAGGTTCCGATGAAATAGGTAAGTAAGGCAAAGATTCTTCTTCTGAGTCAGAACCAGAGTCAAGAAGCACATGAGAGCTGGAAGGTTTAGTGGCAATATTGAGAGAGGTAGAGGAACGTTGGTAGGTGAATGACATGGATTCCATAGTGTGTGATTGAGTGATATGAACTAAACACGCAACATAAAAAAAGTAAGAATGCAGAAAAGAGTTAAGAGAAAATAAAATGAAAGTTTAAAGAGAGCTGCCTATAATATGTAATGAGCTAATTTAAATATCTAAATATGTGAAACTTTTTTTGCATTTTTAATGAAGGATGTTGTCAAAGATCACTAAAGTAAAATAAGTTAAAACTGTTGTTTGAATCCCTACTCCAAGGAGTAGGTTTCTGCCTTAAAGAAATGACAAACACTTTTCCTCAAGAACAAAGTCAGTCACAGGGTTTAAATAATCAACAGGTTTATATTTAAGACAAAAGGCTTTTAATGAAAATAAAGATAGGGCTGAAAACAAGTTTGTTGTACCTGGAAATCCATCATCTGCCTCAGCATCCCCTGGTCCACTGCCTGTACTGGAACTGTCCATGCCCATATGTAAGGCCTGGAGCTGTGACCGCAGCTGCTCAATGTCACTGTCTTTACTGTCCAGTGTCATCTGCAGTTCAATGCGAATCTGGCTCTCTTCAGCTATTTGCTATGAGGAATTAAATTGTATCAAATTAACTGGATGCCATACATCTCATAATGTTGCTTCTTAGTCCAGTAATTATTAATATAAATGTTCTATAATCAATAAAATATATACAGACATGAAAGCAATTCTACTTCTTTAAAAAGAAGTCTTTAAACTAGAATTCCAAAGGTATCCTTACAGCCTGCATCTCATTCAGTTCTTTCTGATACTTGATCATCTGCTGGGTCAATTTTTCACGTTCCGATTTCAGCTCCATATGTAGCTTTCTATTCTCCTTCTCTTTTCTCCGCACATCTGTGTCACTACCACGCTTGATAGGTTCTTTTCGATTCATGATCTCAGCCAACTTATTCACAGCCTTAAAAACATAAAAATAAAAATATATAAACAAAAAATACATTACATTGGTGGTTTCGTGGTAACTTACCAATAGCAAGTTACATAGCCACTAATGATCTCCTTCCCTATACACAGGGCCACAAAGAAACACCTTACAGATTAGGAAACACACCTCCTTTCATTACTCGTTATCCTTCCCCAACCTCTATTCTACTAGTTTTTCATTCCTGTTTTCAGAGAACTGTGATTTAAAATGCTTATAGGTCTGATCTGATGTCACTTTCTTCCACTTTGAGTTTTTGGTTTTAAGACAGACTTTTACTAGGCAGATCTTCTTTGATCTGGAAGAGAATTTTGCAGTTGTACTCCATTAATAAATTACATGTCCAAGCACAGGGCAAAACATGTGGGACTCAAAAGTATTGGTGCTGTCTACACCACCATGAGAGTTGACAGAAGGATGGTCAATATCACAGGTACCTTTTTCAGAATGACCTTTTTTAGGCTGTCAGCAAATGGTCATTCTTTAAAGTTTCTTAAAAAGCAGAAAAAAACTTATCAGATTATAATAAAAAATTAGGAGGGAATGTGATTCCACATGGAAAAATTAACAAAAACTTTAATAAATATTGAACTAAACAATGTTAATCAAACCTAACTTCTATTACCTTGGCAAAAGTCAGATAACTGGGACTGTTCATAAATACTGATACATTCACTGACAGCTACAGCCAATGTGTAATGCCAGAAGTCAAATAGAAAAGACAAACTAAAAACATTTCAAAGTCCTATTTAGAGTTTATTACACATACTTGCGTTTTGAGTGTTCTCTCTGTTAATAACTGCTTCTCAAATTGTGCTTTAATAGCTGCTGCACTTATCTCTTCATCTTTCAACCTTGACAGTTCTGAAACACAGAAAAATGTCACCATTATATTATAACTAAGCCACTGACCACCATTAGGTATATTTAAAATTAACATTCTTTGTTAATACATACGTTCTTGGGCATCTTTCAATTTGTTATTTAATTCTTCTTTCTCATTTGCAAGATTGGCAACATCACTAGTTAATGTCCTATTAGTTTCTTCAAGCTAAGGAATTAAAAATTTAAGTTATCAAGCAAGAATTCAAAATGAAAATATCCTAGACTGTTACTAAAACTCCTGTTTTTCTAAGTACATCTATCTCTAAACTTCCTGTCTTTGCACTACCTTACCAAACTTCACTTTTGAAGAAAATTTAAACCATAATATACTTCATATACACCCCAGGAAGCCAAAAAAATGCCCTCTTCTTAAATATCCTCAGCAGTATTTTTAGTGAGAAAAAACTTAATAAACTAAAAACAAGCGCAAATACTGTAACAAAGCTCTGCATTGCACCGTGCAGAATAAACAAAAGTTAAAACTGCAGTACTTCTTTCAGAACATTATTTTAAAACAGAACATAAAATTTTACTAAAGAAGTTGATGTCCTTTTGTATTCTCGCCGAATTCTATTCTTCCTGAAGGAATTCTCACTGTGAACTGTGTGTTCATCCTTCATTCATGATCGTGCACTTTCATTATATATACATGAAATAATATATAGTGGATTTTCATGTGATTTTAAATTGTCCATAAATAGCACCATGCTGTATTTATCTTTCTGTACCTACTTTCACTTGATATTATATTTAGTTGTTGATACAGAGACCTAATTAATTCATTTTAACTGACAGAGTTGCATATTCTATCACATTTCATCCATCCACTCATTCCTCTATTGATAAGACATTTGAATTTTTGCTATTACAAATATACCTACTGCTATGAGTATTGTGCCTGAATTCCTCTAGCACATTTATCTTAATGTTGACTTTCTTTGGATAATATAAATATTTAAAATTTACTGCCTTAACCGGTTTGGCTCAGTGGATAGAGCGTTGGCCTGTGGACTCAAGGGTCCCAGGTTTGACTCCCGTCAAGGGCATGTACCTTGGCTGCGGGCACATCCCCAGTAGGGGGCGTGCAGGAGGCAGCTGATGGATGTTTCTCTCTCATCGATGTTTCTAACTCTTTATCCCTCTCCCTTCGTCTCTGTAAAAAATCAATAAAATGTATTTTTTTAAAAATTACTGGAAACTGCCATACTATTTATAATCCTCTTCTATGCCATACTAAATCTACACTCCCCATAGCAGTAAATACAAATGCCATTTTCCAAACATCCTTCAAACATTTAAAATTAATCAAGGTACTTAATTTCTGCCAGTGTGATGGGTGGAAAAAACACTAGAAAGCAGCCAGTTAAGTGGATCGAAAATCTCGTAGCCAGCATGTACAATGTTTCATTTGGATTTATGTTATTTTACTAGACCTTGTAAGGAAGATTTATGATATAGTAATTTAATTATAATAAAAAAATGAACCAAGAATTTTACTTACAGATGCAATTGTAGCATCTTTTTCACTGAGTTCCTGTTTATGCCGAGCCATCATCTCTTTGATCTCCAGCTCTTTCATGATTTTCTCTTTTTCCAAATCAGAATACTGTTCTTCAGCAATTGAACGAGCCAGCTGCTCAGAATCTGCTTTGGTCAAGGTGATCTCCAGTTGAGCAGCCAATGAGTCCCTACATTTTAGAGACATAGCATCTTCAATTTTCACTCTGAAGTCAAAGTTTACGTCTAATTCTTCATCAACAACTTTTATTTGGAGTATAGTAGGCACTCTTCTAGGGGCAGGGCATGTGGTTATGAACAAGAGACAGGACCCTGTCCTTACCTTTCATCCTGTAATTCCTGTTTCTTCTGCTGTAATTCTTTACAAAGTTTGGTCTTTTCTTCACACTCTTCTTTAAGTTCCCTCACCTGTGTTTTATAGAGAGTCTAAACAGCAAAATATAATAGACATATATCATCATCATCAAGAATCGTTCTACATTCAAAAAACTACCCAGACAAAAAGTTGATACATACAAATATATTAATAACACTGAGAAATGTTGAGCCCCCTGAGCAAATTATAGTTTAATATGCTTTTTGATTTCGTATAATCAACCAATTAACCAATAAAGTTCAGCTAATAATTTAGAAGTGTGATTTTCAACAGAATATCATACTGAGATTTCTCATTAAATGATGTAGACTGATAGGGATGAAGAGGCAAAAAAATATTACTAAAACAAGAAATTTTGTTGGCTTAAATCAATGAAACAGAGGTGACATACACTATTTCATATTTTAAAACTGAGCTCAAAAAAGTACAAATGTTAAAATGACAATTTTATTTCTTTCACAGTCTTCCTCTAAAAGCAATGCTTTTAATCAACTTCATAAAGTATGGGCATGTGCTTAGAACTATTTTTCTAACAATGATAACAGAAACTATTCTAAAGGCAAGAATCATTCTCCTGGCTCTGCAGCAAAAATATTTTTTGTTCAATAATTTTTTAATGAATGTGCCTGGAACTTACTGAGAAATACTGTTCTGCTTCAAGCTGATCTTGGAGCTCTTTCATTTGCCCATCTGCATCTTGACGTTCTCTGTGGTAACATTAAGTCAAATGTTTAAATAAGTTATACACATATTAAGTCAGTGACTCTTCAAATGTGTTCTGGGGAAACCCTGGAAGTCCCTGAGACCCTTTCAGACAATCCTGGAAGTCATCATTTTCATAACACTAATAAATAAGCATCATTGTGTTTGTTTTCTTAATCCTCACCCAAGCATATTTTTCCATTGACTCTTTTTTTAGAATGGAAGGGAGGGGGAGAGAGAGAAACATCGACGTGAGATGGTCACATGGATTATCTCCCACACGTGCCCAACCAGGGCTGCAATCGAGATACAAGCCCTTGACTGGAACTGAACCCAGGACCCTTCAGTTCGAGGACCAAAGCTCTATCCACTGAGCCAAACCAGCTCGGGCTCGTTGGTGTGTCTTCTTTTTAACTCCCATTCCCTCGCTAGCTGTACACGGACTTTTCTTGAGGGTAAAAGATATCATGATGTCAGCACTCCAACAGCTAATGAAATGTATGCTTTTATGTTTTAAAATGGTTTTAATTTCTAAGAAAAAAAATCATTAGATGTAACTCATATAAAATAAACATTCTTTGGCCCTCAATAATTTTTAAGAGTATAAAGGGGTTCTAAGACCAAATAGTGCTATATTAAACCAGTAACACAAAATTACATATTTTCATACATGCACTGTTAATCAGCCACTTATGCCAACCAAGTTTTAGAATTAAAAGAGCACCCCCAAATTGGTTATCTTATGAGTTAAGAAGTGACTGGGAGAGGGCCTAAGTGGACATTAGGAGTACAGGGTTTTATAGCTAAATGTGATGGTAAATGCAAAGATTTGTAAACACTTTACAAAAACGCAGTAAGTTCTACACTTATTTGTGTACTTTTTCTGTTTGTATGTTAATTTTCAATAAAGAAATAAAGTTAAATAAAAAATTAAATTAAAAGCAAGCCTAATTCTAGGCTTATTAAAAATAAATTATAATTTTTCAAAAACATATCTTAATGTTTTCTAGCTTCTAATAAATAGGGCACTAGAGTATATCCTTAAAAAAAGCTTTAAAAATTTACATGGTATTTCCTTAACAGTGAAACATTTCCAAGTCCTAGGTACTAAGGGACAAACAAAGAATACATGGGAAGTAAGCTTGAGAGACAGTCCCAAGAGGAATCTTAAGAGCATGGGGTGAAATCCCAGACGTTTTCTTCCGCTCCAATACCACCACTCCCTGTGTCACTGCATCACAATAAGGTGGTAGTACAACACTGCTGGGGAAGCAAATATACTAGTAATCTTCTTAAAGAACGATAGTGGCACTCTACACACCACTTATACAACAACAAGAAAAAACATGGTCAAGAAAATACAATGGTCCAAAAGAATCCTCAGATAAACCAAAATTAAGGGAATTTACATGTGGATAGTTGTGCATATTAGTAAAACTTTGTCTCAAACAATTAACTTACTTTCGAAGTTCAGCATTCTGTTTTTCCAAGTTCATTTTCATTTCCATGAGATGATTATTCTCTTGTTTTAACTGCTTTTCTGACATTTTTAGTGTGTTAACTTGCTGTGTTTGCATCTTCAAGTCATTTTGTGTGAGGCAGCGCTTTTGAGTTTCCTGCTCTATTTTTAATGTCAAGTTTCTAACCTAAAAAAATAAATTGTGTAGTTGGTATGTAAGTAAATTATTTTGATTTTTCTTATCAATAAGTTTGCAGCATAGATGATGATCCAAAACAGATTTTTGCCCTCAGGCAGTGAATTCATTTCACAGTAAAATATTTCTGATAATGTTTTAAAAAATAAAATATGGCTTTTACATTAAAAATAACTTTACAGTTTTAAAAATTATTATTTGTTTAGTATATTATCCAAATTCAGTAAAATTTAAAGGTTATAAAATGTTATTTTATAGGAAAAATATTTTACATTATGAAATCATCATTGTTCCTTTACAAATAAGCCTAGTTTACTATTAATTCATTAAATAATATATTATTTATTAAAAACATACTTACATCTTCATTAAGCACATCTTTCTGTTTAAGGAGTTCATTTACTTTCTGCTGTGACTGTTTCAGGTCACAGTCTAATATGGAGCATTTTTTCTCAGCTTCCAGCAGCAGGTTCTCCACTTTCTGTTTTAAAGTCCTTTCCTCCAAGAGCTTTTTTTCCATTTCTATTGCCACAAAATAAACATAACCATGAATTTATAAACAAAAGAAGCATATCAAATACATAATGTAGTGCTAATAAAAATGATAGTAAATGATGCTTCTTAAAAATATTTTTAGACTGAGAAACAGCGATCAGGCTATCAATCCCCAGAAGGGAAGTAGGGGAGGGCGTGGGTAAGGGGAAGAGATCAACCGAAGGACTTGTATACATGTATATAAGCCAAACCAATGGACATGGACAACAGCGGGATGGGAGCGTGAGTGTGCGGGGTGGGGGGGGGGGGAAGGTTGGGGGTTAATGGGGGGGGGATGAGGACACATTTGTAATACCTTAACTAATAATAATAATAATAATAAAAATATTTTTAAATCCTCAGTTTAGTATTTTCATCACTCCTGTTAACGTATTTGAAATGTCAACAATTTCATGCTTGAAAATTAGGTATTTCATTTACAGGATATAAAAATTTACCACATTCTGGAATTTTATATGTGTTCTAATGGAAATAAAATAATTCTACCTTTATTTATGGTTCTAAAAGATACTGATATCTTTTAGCCCTGGCTGGGTGGCTCGGTTGGTTGGAGCGTCATCCCATACACCAAAAGGTTGCAGTTTTGATTCCCGGTCAGGGCACATACTTAGGAGGGCATATACTTAGGTTTCTTTCAGGGTTCCATTCCCAGTTGGGGCAATCAATGTTTTTCTCTTGAGAACATCTGTTTCGTGTTCTCTCTCTCTCTGTCTCTGTTTCTTTCTAAAAAAAATAAAAATCAATAAACATATCCTCGGGGGAGGATACAAAAAGATACTTATATCTTTTAAATAAAGATTTTCCCCCTGCTATTCTGTGCCCCTCAGTGTTACTTGTCTTATCTTCAGACATTAAGGTAGAGTCTATTACCTCTATGGCTCTTTCCATACTAGCATATTACCAGGCAGAGGATAACAACTACGTTTTAGGGAGGTGGTCAAGGACAGGGCTCTGGAACCAAACTCTTGGAGTTTAAACCCTGGCCCGGACACTTTCTAATTATTTCACTGGTCAAGTTAATTAACCTCTCTGAGGCTCAGTGTCCTTATGTCTAGAATGGTGATAATACCTACCCTCACAGGGACATTATACAGATTTTTAGTTAATGTATGTATAGCACTTAAATGCTGCCTGAACTATGGCAAACACTTAATAAGTGCTCACTATTTAAAAAGAGTTTCTAATAACTTAAGGAAATGTTCATAATTATTTTTTAAAAGAAAAAAGAAAAACTATACAAAATTGAGAAAATATAAAAGTATAACATTGATTACTACGACTATGATTAATCTTTACTTACTTTTTTATACTTGAAAATCTGTTCAAATCCAACTAGGTTCCTCTGCTCCTTCATATCTAATGCTGAACATCTAATTATCATTTACTATAAAGTTATGTTAAGTAAAAATTAAACCTTTGAATGTTCAGTTTTTAATGAACTGTCTTCAAAAGTGTGGAAAATGAAATTATTCTTCACATGCTATTAATAGCTAGCATTTCTAAGCACTTTTCATGTATCACTGAACTTGGTTTTCACAACAACCTAATACTTTAATTGCCCCTTTGTAGGAAACAAGGCACAGATAGTTATGTAACCAGACAAAGTCACATAGCTAGTAATTCATTGATGGTGAAGGCATATTCTTAATCAACGGAGGCAATGATCTGCAGTGAGAAGATCCAAGGCTTTAGAGCCAGGTTTGATCACCACCTATAACATTTACGTTTTGTGCACTCCTTCAAATACTAACGTCATCATGTATCTTATGTTAGTGTTATAACAAGGAGTTTGAAAAAAAATGGCAGGTATTATTATACTGAATTTCTTTTCATCAGTTTAGAGAATAACCTATGAATGAATATACACATTTTAAAAAAACAATCACCCTAATGTAGACAGAGAAAAAATAAAAAGAGGCGTAAGTGATACGTGGATTTGTTGAGGTGATGAAAAGACAGATTCCATACCTTGTTTTGGGTGCTAGTCACACATTGTGCACTACAAATGTAAAAAAATGTTTGCATTTTATTGCACCAAATTATACTCCAAAAGAAATTCCTATCTGTCTTCTAGGCCACAGACAGAAAAAGAGCCATTTCATCTCTTATCATCCTGAATTAGTGCCTTAAAGTAATATCAACCAAAAAATCTCCACCATGAATACATTAAATAATTATAAGCCTATTTTTTGCTAAGTTATTCATAAATGTTATATTTCAATATGAAATAAAGTTTCTATTAAGAGTTTTATGAATCTTTCATAAGAATATTGATTTCCTTTGTAACTGCAAATCCATCATAATTATAAACACAGTTTGGAAAACAAGTAATTAGCTTAAAACAATTCCAAGATACAAGCTGGTTTATGAAAAAGTTAATTTTGTTAATTTTACCCTATATTCATTAGTATTGTAAGGTTTTGACCAAATCTAACTAATACCTTCATCATGCCAGAGCTCAAAATACTTAGTGAGCTTCTATTCTAGTTAGTTCAGCTATTATTTTAAAATCTTTATCTTGAAGAAAGTGGCAAGAAACATAAGCCGATGGAATGTTAAACTAAGTATTAAAAAAAAGCATATCCCCCCAAATCTGAGAACTTCACATTCTGCATTCCTGTCATTTCCGATATCATGAAAATAGTAATTTCTCTTTAATCTAGTAATTTTTGGGGGCCTTCCTGTCTTAGAAATTATTGCTAAAGGGGAAGGTGGAGTTATATATGTAAAGCTTCCCTAATAGTGTTTCTCCTCCAGTATTTGGCAATGAAATATAAACAAATATTTTCAAAATCAAAGAATTGAATACAGAATCAATTCGTAGTAAGATGATGCTAGAAAACCCTCTTATAAAAATGCATACCTTTCATGGCTTCTGATTTAGCTTCTTCAATAGATTCATAAATCTTATTTTTATCTGCCAGCCGTGCTTTTGTAGTTTTATGCTCAGCTTCTTCTTGTTCTAAGCTCTGCTGTATAACTTTTAGTTGATAGGTCATATCTATCTCCATGTTGTTCTTTTCCTATTAAACATGAAAATGGCAGCTATCAACAAATAGACTGTTGACAATTTCAAAAGCTTACAAAGGTTTTTTAAATACACTTACCAAGAATGTCCAATATTTCCCCTTTTCTACTCATTAAAATTGTATAAGTAATCTACATAACTCTACCAGTTCTCTTCCCACTATATTAACCTCCCACAACTCCGCTCTACTATTCTGAGATCTGTATTGAGATGGTTTGATCTCAATAAAGTGACCAATGATATTTTCAATATCAAATTCAACAGACACCTTTCAGTCTTTATCTCACTTGAACTCACTGTTGCCCTTGAAACTACTTCCTTGACCTACCTGACACTGAATTCACTTGGTTCTCCCCATTCTGCTCTCATCTTTTCTGTTGCTTGTGAAGTTTACCCCCAAATCACTGCTTAACCCTACCAGACCGCTATACCGATTTTTCGGTAATTTCCGAATCTGCCGCTATACCTAATTTTCGGTACTTTGCCAAGTACGTGAAAAAAATGCGTAGACCTATTTTCTACAATGTCTCCAAGTTCCATCTTATTCTAACCACTTGTTTGCATGTAACTAACAATTTTCTATATCATGTTGGTTTTTTCTCTTTAATGCTCAGGAGCCCAGGTATAGGGGACAGTTAGGTTCAGGGCCTCAGGTCTGGTAGACTTAAACATTGGTGTTTGCTGGAGGCAGTGTTCTTTAGCCAATGCTTCTCCTCTTCCTATACTATTATATCTTAAACTTTTAAAACATATCAATAAAATATATTTAAAAAAAAAATAAAATAAATAAAATAAAACATATCAAATGTTTCCTTTTGCTCTATCTTAAAAGATCTCAGGATCCTCTACCATTCACACTTATCTTCAACATGTAGGAGACATGTTTTAAGTTGAGAATCTTTAATAACAGAAATCAGTTTATTTTCTATATGTCCTCGAAAGATTTCCTAATTCTATTTTCTATAGTTTGTACCATAAATATAGATATTTCTTTTGTGTTTTAAGTAAAATATTTAATGCTGAAATAATTTTTTCAAACTAATAATTCACAAGTCTCTGTCCTGAAAAACTACTGCTCTAAACAAATTCTTCCCAGATGGGCTCTTCCATTTGCATGATTTTAGCTACTTCTATACCGATGACTTGCAAATAATTCTAGCTTCTATTACCATAACTTACTGCTTTATAGATATCCTAATTTGGCTGTTTCACAGGCCCCTCACACTTAGGACTAAAATTGATTTATCATTGTTTCCTCTAAAAGAGCTATTTTTCCTTTCTTTAAAATAAATTAATGGCACTATTCCATATTTCTTCACAAAGTAGGAACCTGAACTCATCCTTGAGTACTATACTACTCACATGCCACATCTAACCAATTACTAATTGCTGCCAAATATTCCTTTACTAAATTATTTCTCAGATTCACCTCTAGTTCCCATCCTTTTAACCATTGCACTAGAAAAGTCTCCATTATCTGAATACTGAAAGAGTCTGACTTGTCTTATCCTCCTCAAATCTGTTCTCCTCCTGATATACAGTGATCTACCAACTTAAAGATCTTCAGCAGCGCCCTAGCCGGTTTGGTTCAGTGGATACAGTGTGGGCCTGCAGACCGAAGGATCCCAGGTTCGATTCCGATGAGGGGCATATGCCTGGGTTGCGGGCTTGATCCCCAGTGCGGGGGGAGGGGAGGGGCGTGCAGGAGGCAGCCAATCAATGATTCTCTTTATCACTGATGTTTATCTCTTTCTCCCTCTCCGAAATCAATTAAAAGGGAAAAAATAAAAAGGATCTTCAGTGGCCAGTCCAGTACTTAAAGAAACTAAGTTTCTTAACAGAATATTCAAAATCTTGCATGATCTAGCTCATGCCTAGCTCTCTAGCCTCACTCTAGCCACTAAATTCTCACTCTTACAGGAGGACTGTATTGGCCTGCCATTTTTTAAAAATTTCATTGGACACAACCATGCCCACTCCTTTATGTATTGCAGCAAAACTGGGTAGTTGCAACAGAGACATTAAAGCCCACAAAGCCTAAAGTATTTACTGTCTTTCCCTTAAAAGACTGAAATTTGTTGCCCCTGCTCTATACTCCAGAAATATTGAACAGTTTATACTTAAACAGACTAGACCTTTTTTATTTTCCACCCTCTGTGCCTTGCTCATGCTTTCCTCCCCAACTCACAATGTGCCCTGTCAACCAACCCTGCCCTGTCAGGTCAGGAATTCATCCTGTGCACCTACTCCGTCCCTTGTCCATACCTCTATCATTCTATTTACCATACTGCCTTATAATTATCTCTGAGTTACTATTGCTTTAGAAATTACCCATTAGACTGTAAAATTGTTAAAAGTACAGACTGCATCCTGATATTTCTACCACATAGAACATACTAAATACTTGAAATGAGTAAACAGAATAAAATATTAACTTCACAGAGTCTAGAAATTATCCCTAGCTTATAGTATTTTTAAAGAAAAACTTCTGAATGCCAAAAGTCGTAACTATGTATAATTTTTATGACCTGTTATAAGAGAAAATGAGAGTTTTCCTTGGACCTCTAGAGAGAAGCATCCTCATTATACACACTCCAGGAGAGTCCCTCCATAAGCATCTAACATACTAAGAGCTGCTTATGTAGGGCTATGGCAACCTTAAGAAATATATATCCTGCCCTGGCCAGTGTGGCTCAATTGATTAGAGAGTTGTCCCATACACCAGAAGGTTGCAGGCTCAATTTCCAGACAGGGCACATACCCAAGTTGGGGTTCGATCCCCCACTGGGATGCGTACTGGAGGCAACCGACTGATGCATCTCTGTCACATCGATGTTTCTCTCTCTCTCTCCCATCCTCTCTCTCTAAAATCAATGGAAACATGCCCTCAGGTGAAGATTAAAAAATATGTACATATGAAAAAATACATATATATATATACACACACACATATATATATGTCCCTAGTCTACAGAACCAAGTCTAAATATAAGAATCCATAAGTACGCAGTAATAAATGGTTTCTCTTATTTTAGAGTAAGTTTTCCAATCTGAAACTCTTACACAAATATAAAGATTAATATGTTTTACCTTTTCCAAATCAGTGAATCTCTCCTGAAGTTGTCTCTTCTCCATCTCAACTTTTGTTAATAAGATTTTGCCATTCTTTACATCTTCTTCTAGGCCAGATATTCTACCTAATATTGCAACATTTAAAAGAACAATAAATCCACAAAGTGTGTATGTGTATCCTATCTAATAATAGACAAACATGGTAATTGACTGTACCTTCGCCACACCTCCCATTGGCTAATCAGCGCGATACGCAAATTAACCACCAACAAAGATGGCGGCTAATTTGCATACTGCAGGCAGGGTGGGACAGCACGAGCCGCCAGCGTGCCGCCATCCAGGGCGGGCCGGCCCCAGAAGCCGCCTGATATGGTAGTAACTCTATCAGTAAGTACTCTGAAAGTCAGTGGCATAAATGCACCAATTAAAAGATTATGAGGGTGAATCAAAAACAAAACCCACTTTAAATATAAAGACACATATAGATTAAAAGTAAATGAATTAAGCTGCAGCCTGTTTTGCTAAGTGGATAGAGCATTAGCCCATGGAATGAAGGGTCCCAGGTTCGATTCCAGTCAAGGGCATGTACCTCAGTTGCTGGCTTGATCCCCAGTCCCTATCAAAGCATGTGCAGGAGGCAACCAACCAATGTGTCTCTCCCTTTCCCTTCACTCTCTCTAAAATTCAATGGAAAAATATCCTTGGGTGAAGATTAACAAAAACAAAGTAAAATGGATTAAGTAACATTAAAGAGATTATAAGAAAAATATATTCCAAATTTTGTTAGTTGTATAACGGTTATCTTTAAATTATTAACACCTAAGAAATTGGGTGAAGGGTACATATAATATGCTGTAGAGCCCTAACCAGTTTGGCTCAGTGGATAGAGTGTCGGCCTGCAGACTGAAGGGTCCCAGGTTCGATTCCGGCCAATGGCATGTACCTTGCTGGTGGGCACATCCCCAGCAGGGGCTGTGCAGGAGGCAGCTGATCGATGTTTCTCTCTCATCGATATTTCTAACTCTCTATCCCTCTCCCTTCCTCTCTGTAAAAATCAGTAAAATATATTTTTTAAAAAATGTGCTGTAGTATTTAATAGTTTTTTTTACATGTATGAGATTATTTCAAATTAAAGTATTAAAAAATTAAAAATAAAATATTAATTGAAATGTATCTGCATTACATTAAAAATCTCCTAATTGCTTCTAGCATAATTTATTAAATTGTGCTAAAATTTACAAGGGTTCAATTAAAAAATATCTTAATTCTAAAAATGATATAATAGAAAATATGTAATAGTGCAGTTATAAGCACTTATCTGAAAATAAAAATTTTAAGAAGTGAATTTAAAGAAGGGATTAGCCAAAGAAAATATATGCACAACCCATGGACACAGACAACAGTATGGTGATGGCCCGAGAGAAGTGGGGGGTAAGAGCTGGGTAGAGGGGTCAAAAGGGGGGAAACAGGGACATCCTATATAATAATAATAAAAGGCTAATATGCACATTGACTGAACGGCAGAATGACCGGTTGCTATGATGTGCACTAGCCATCAGGGGGCAGACGCTCAATGCAGGAGCTGCCCCATGGTGGTCAGTGCACTTCCATATGGGGAGTGCCACTCAGCCAGAAGCTGGCTCATGGCTGGCCAGCACAGTGGTGGTGGCAGGAGCCTCTCCCACCTCCGTGGCAGCACTAAGAATGGCCAATGGTTTAGACCTGATCCCTTGGGGGCCAAAGCCTTTAGTCGGACATCCCCTGAGGGCTCCCTGGCTGCCAGAAGGATGTCTGACTGCAAGCTTAGGCCTGATCCCCCGGGGAATGGGCCTAAGTCAGCAGGTGGACATCCCCCAAGGGGTCCTGGACTGTGAATGGGCGCAGGCCAGGTTGAGGGGCCCTTCCCCCCCGCCCCCCCCGCCCAGTGCACAAATTTTTGTGCACCGGGCCTCTAGTATGTATGTATGTATGTATGTGTGTATATATATATATATATATATATATATATATATATATATACACACACACACACACATATATGTTAAGAGTAAAAAATTTGGATGTCACCTCATACTTTGAAATTGGTATTTATGAGGAGAAGTTTTATAATTGTTGGTGTAGATGATATAGTTGAGATATTGCTTTATAGTTAATGCAACTGGAACCCAATCTACGACCTTGGGAGGCAGCTTGATACTTAAAATACTTCAAACTATTTGAAAGTAAATCTTTTGCTCACAAAATTTCATATTAATGTACTTCTAATACCCTAACTTTACATATTCAGAAATGTGCTACTCCAGTACATTATCCATCATCTAAAATTATTTCCAAAATATAAATCATTAAGATGAATTCAAGTGCAATATCTATGTTAATACCTTGTAAATCATTAATTATCTCTGATCCATGGGTTCGGTCCCTCCTTTCAGATTCTAGAACCGACTGAAGATTGATAAATTCCTTTTCAAGTTTTAACTTGGCAGTCTCCAACAGGCAATTTTTATCTTGTAGATCTCTATTGTTAGACTCCAACTGCTGAATCTGTTTTGAACTTTCTGCCTGGCTTTTTCTTAACCGGGCTGCAGCATCAGATTCTGTTCGCAGCAAAGCATTGGTTTCATCCAGCTGTCATTCCATTCAAATCAAACAACAACAAACAAACAAACACAGGTGTATATGATGAAAATACCTCAATTTCTTACCCCATTACAAAGTACTTAAAATAAACAAATACCTGAAAATACTTCTTAATGATTTCACTTTAAAATTAGAGGTAAAATCCTCTAGTAACACTGACAAAGCTGTTAATGGGCAGTCATAAACGAAATTCAATATCCTTATTACAAACTGAGATCAACTTACTTGTCTCTGGAGCTGATTCACTTTCTCGGTGGACATTTGAGAGTTCTGATTTCTTTTTTTCAAATCTTCGAGTTGATCTTTTAGACTGTTAACTATGATAAAAAGCATTTCAGTGGCAAGAGTCAACATAACACACACATACACACACACTTAATTTTTTTCTTGGTATTTAATATTCTATACCACAAACCATCATTTTCCAAATTCCGTTTCTTGTCTGCTTCATGATCGGCTTTCCGCTGATATTCTGCATTTTTGTGCTGAAGAAGCGCCTTTTCTCTTTCTAATTGTCTTAATGCTGATTCCACATTTTTCCTTAAGGTAATCTGAAATAGTGCTTCAAGTTATTATCAGAAAAAAGCATGTATAAAAATTATAATAAAACAAAAACTATTTCAATTATTTCAAGCAGATAAGAAAACATAAAAAGCTGTAACTGCTATATTATTAAAACTACAATACTGTTTTCCATATTTTAAAAATAGCACACTACTCTTAACACTGTGTTTTGTTTACTATTGAAAGTCAAACTGTCGATAACATTCTGTCACCACTGAACCATTTTTACGTGATAAAAGCATGGGTCAAAAATGTTAGGAATAAAAATTTTAAAAAAGAAACAATGGTCACTTTCTGTTTTTAAGCCATGTCATTAATACAAATGCAATTTTTTTTTTTACTTTAAATATCTACACATGCTAAATTAACTCAAGTTTTGCAAAAACACAACAAAAATGAAGCCTATTATCATGATTATCCTATAATTTTAGTCCTATCCACCCATGCTACTGGTAGATTTTATCATAAACCAAGATGTATATTAATATGGTACCAAGAGAACACTAGGAATCAAAACTTTTTATAAACAAAAATGTTAAATAAAAGTGTAGAGCAACTTTACCTCTTCTTCTAGCTCCTTTGCTACTTTCTCTAGGCGAGTATTAACAGATCTAAAGAATTTCAAAAGAAACTGTAAATAAAATTACTCCTAATTTACAATAAAATAATTTAGTATAAATTTAAAAATAATCATATAATTACATTTTTAGTAATATGTTTAAACTTAAATTTTATAATATACTATTCAATTATCTACAAAATATACCTGCACTTCTGCTCTATTTCCTCTTTTGCTTGTATCTCAGTGCTAAGGTGTTCTTCTAATGTGTATAGTTTTTTCTGAATCTGTCAGAAAAGAAATTATAATTATAAAATTTGGTCACACTTAAAAGATGAGAGGCTTAAAGAAAACAATGATAAGCTTCTCTTTTCTTTTAGCTTAATTTAATCTCCTCTATAGTGGTACCATATTTATACCTTCTAATGTGGCTTTTATTGACAGGGGGCAATCCCCCATCTCTTACTTTCTGTCTAGGACAGTAAACATGTATGTACAACCACACTACGTAAACATGTGAATAAGAACCTTCTGACACAAGTTTCTCATTCATTAGGAATAAAGGATAGCCTCCACTGTTCTTCTGCAGATTATTTATGTAAAAATACTATTACCATTTGTGCTTATAAAAGGCCTATATACAAAACAAATATTCAGAAAATTTGATTGAGCATGCTCAAATATACTAGTATTCTTAAAAATAAGAATATAAGTTCTTCTTTATATCTTTCTACAGTGCTGGGCACCGTACTGTAAAGAGTTATAATCAATAATTTTATTGAGTAAATGACAAATAATGAGTTACAAGTCATCTTGTCATTCTTTTAAAAAATATATTTTTATTTATTTCAGAGGAAGGGAGAGGGGGAGGTAGAAACATCAATGATGAGAGAGAATCATTGATCGGTTGTCTCCTTTCTAGGCTACATCTGTCAGTCTGTAAGCAAACTAAAGTTACAGAAAGTATTAAATAATCCACTTTTGGAGCATTATTACTTTTATAAAGGCTTTAACTTTTGAGTTCTTTTCATGTCTTAGGAACAGTGGCAGGCACTTGACAAATGTGGTTTCATTAATCCTAAAAAAAAGCCCTAAAAAGATGGTAGTACTATACCTACTCAATAAAGAAACTAAAATCCAAAAAAGATGAATAACTGGGCCAAGACAATATAGTTAATAAGTGGCAGAACAAAAACACTCAACCTAAGTCTTTGAGATTCCAAGGCCAATATTCTTCCCACTATTCTTTCTAGTGATTAGGTTCTCCAAGGTTTTAAAAAATTTCATATACCTTAAACAAAACTATATTTTTCCCCTAATAAGAATATACAGACCAATGAACTAGTTAAATGTAATTACTATTGCATTAATATAATTTGATCACACTAGTTGTCACATGCTAATTGCTGCCAATTATGTCTTTGATAAATGAAATCATAAAAATACATAATATACATTTTAAATGACAGATCCATAGGAGCAATAATAAAAGGGATACTTGGTAGAAAAAAGGTTGAGAACTTCTGTTGGGAGATATAGTGTTCCAAATGCTAAGTGGAATAAGGCTATATCAAACCACTGCTAGAGTAATGAGTCTGTTGTCTCAGTTTTTCCAAGATATATGACATCAACATACCTCTTGACTTTCCTATTTAAAACAAAGAAAAAAAAAACAGAAAATATTAAAATGCTTGTTTTGCTTTATCAAATTCCTAAAACACAAACTGTATCAAAGTTATTCAACCAAATATTTTAGATTTTATAAGTTTTGAAGAGAAAAATGGTTAGCCTCACAAAATACTGTAACTGTTTGATAAAATCATCCTTTATATGAATTTATTGCTAAATACTCAAAATTTGAATCTCTCCACTATTTCTATACTTTTACAACTTATTTTCTGTACTTTTATAGAACTAAGATTATAACATTTTGTAACTGGTATTATAGCTGTTCATTAACCTACTGTCATGTTTGGTATTAAAACTAAGCCTAAAGCCGTGTATAATTCATCGTTTTACTAGCCATTGTATCTTACACAATGACATTTGTCAAAGAAATTAATTAGTTCAATGTTATGTTGAACTATATTGCAATAAAGAATACCATCTAATGATTCAAAAAGTAGCATCAAAGAAACTTTTAAAAATGCATGGACATTACTAAAATATTTGGACATGTGATTAAAATAGAGAAGTAAAATTTGTACATACTTCATTTTTCCTTGTTTGTATTGAATCATTTTCTCTACAAGATGGAAAGTCACTTAATAACCTAGAAGAAAAGGCAGGAAAATAAATTATTTTACATGTAATTTTAATCAATTTTCTAATACCAACTTCTTCTCAGAATTAAATTATAATCACCAAGATCTTTGTCTTTCCACTTCAATTTATTTTAAATGAAGCAACATTTTCCCCTCTGGATATTTAGACTTTCCATCATTTAAAATGCTAAACTTGCCCTAGCTTGTTTGGCTCACTGGATATAGAGCGTTGGCATGTGGACTGAAGAGTCCCAGGTTCGATTCTCGCCAAGGGCACATGCCTGGGTTCGGGCTCGATCCCCAGTAGGGGACATGCTGGAGGCAGCCGATCAATGATTCTCATCATTGATGTTTCTCTCTCTCACTCCCTCTCTCTCTGAAATCAATAAAGAAATATATTAAAAATAATAAAAAATAAAATGCTAAACTTTTCTTGCCTCTCACTCTTACCAGATATTCTGTTATTTAACACTGTTGAGATTGGAGTCTCTAAATGAAACTATACTTGCTTCCTCTTCATCTCAAGTTCTGTAACTATTTTATTCTTCTTTTCTAGACATTTTCTAGAAAGAGACTTCTGTCCTCCTTTTCAAAGATAAGGGCTTAACACATAAAATGATCACTTTTGTCAATCTCTCTCTTAATTGGGTCCTTCCTCACTGCCTATAAACATTCGTGGGATTCTCCTGGCACGGATACCTTCATTTTAGTCAGCATTACGATAGTTTTGAGAACACTACTGGTAACAGGTGACCAAGTCTTCCTGGTTTGCCTGGATTTTATAAGTTTTAAAGAGAAAAAATGTTTTAGGATGAAAGTCCCACGCCACATTCTAGGAAACTACTTAGTCCTGGGAAAATCATAATGGTTGGTCACCCTCATCATTACACATGGAAGGACCAAAGAGTTTCTCCAATGTCTTTAATGCTTCACTCAACTATTTAACACTTCAGTGGCTCCTCACTGCCTATAAAGTCAAAAGTCCCTTAGCACATAACAATCATCTATTGCATTATTCTTCCCCTAAACTCCAACTTCAATCTATTCTCTAATCTTACCCCCAAAAATCACTTCAGTCAACCAACATGTATTGAATGACCTGTGCCAGGCTCTGTGCTAGATGGATTTGGGCAAGAAAGCCACAGTCTTATCAAGTCCTCCAAATGGTCATAAGCCAGTTAATATATATCCTATGTTTGAGCCCCACTGGATTACACTACTCTGCTCTCAATGTATGCTTACATTCCAAACTCTGCTTCCACTACTCACCTCCCCACATCTCGGCCACTCAAAAAACCCTTTCTTATCTTTAAATTTGGCTAACATGCCATCTCTGCCTTGAGGTCTTGCCTAACTTCTCCCTACCCTCAACCCAAACAAACATGACTTATTTTTCTTCCAAAGCATCTTAGATGTTTTGGGTCCCTTTCTTAGAGCAAATATCACATTCTACCTTTCATTATGAGTATATAACCTTCTCATATCCCTCATTAGTTGACAATCTTCAAAAACAGGTATTTGGTCTTATCTGTAGCCCAAAATAATATAGAGCATTGCCTTGCATTCATTTGTAAATGAATGTCATATAGCATTAGAGAAATAAAATGAAATTAAAAATAACTCTTTTGATAGTCCTTTTAGAAAAACTCAAAGTTTAAAACAAATTAATACTTTTTAAAACAATCCAGTCCCAAAGTAAGACAATGTTTTATAGCTAGACTCTGAAACAATAAAAATGTAACAAACAAATCACATACAAATTTTCTCTGTAGTAGGTAAATCCTATAAAAGGCAGCTGATTTCCTACAAAAGCTTTAGGAATTGGGAAGGTTTCTACATCTCCTTTATCATCTTCAATGTCATCAAAATTGCTGCTGTCTATGTCACTGCTGAGTTCAGGTACTACTGGAGCTGCCGCTATTAAAAGAAAGAAATTATTTCACTCATAATAAAAAAATAAACTACCCCTATTTCGTTTTGCATTATGAACAATATATTATATTAATATTAACATGCTGTACAATAATATATAATTAATAACATATCTATGATTTACTATAGAAAATTTTAGTAACATTTTATCATTTCAAAGAATTAAAATTTTTAAGTATTTTATTACTACCTTAAAGCAGTTTTATTTTTTTTTTCCTTAAAGCAGTTTTAAATACAGATAAACCAATTAAACAAAAAAAGCAATATGATATTACTCTAGGCATTAAAATTACAAACAGCAATATGTTGCATATACATTCTTTGGTTTTCATTTTTCTATATTCTTTAAGTATTTCTTACTCTTCAAATTAAAAGTTTATATTTCCCCTTTCTGAAAATTATTGAGATCCATCAAATTTAACATGAAAAATAAAGAAACCTATGTTTTTATAAAAGTATTGGGAAATATTGCTAATAAATACATATTTATCGTATGCTTAGTTTGCTAAAATACTGAGGTAATATGAATTTAGTTATAAATATTGCCACTGAACAAATATGAAATGGAACTCCCAATTTTAAAATTAGTATTAAGTATATGAAATATGCTTCTTAATTCAAATTAAGAATCAATTTAAAATGTGGAATGGAAATATTTAAATGTATTGACTTACTCTCTCTTATGTTATCCCAATTCCATTGATCATTCTTAAAGAAAGGATGTTGTTTGATTTCTTCTACCCCATTTCTCCCAAGTCGTACCTCCCTACGATGCAGTTAAAGATTATGTAAAAAGGTTATGAAAAGACGACAACATTAACCTTTTATCTAGACAATAATCAACATAAGGATCACAAATGAGTTTGAGATATCTTTTTTAAAAGTATAGCATAAATGTTTCTCAAGAAAAAGCAATCTCAATTTTATAATATATAATCTCTATAGATAAAGAAGACTTTGGTGTATATAGGAAATGTCATGGAAAGTGAAATATATTTCAATCAGTAGTTTGTGCCAAACAAAAAATACACATGAGACTTTCAAATAAAAAAATTCACCTACGTGTGTCAAAATTGCATAACCAACTTTAAGACGCAAAATGGATGAAGATCTAACTTTTGGCCCAGAACAATTATCAAAACCTTTCCAATAAAACCATTATTTTAAAAATCTCTCCCCTTCTTAAAAAAAAATCACATTTTATATTTGAAGCTATCCATATTTACTCTGATAAATTATATCTCTGAATACAAAAAAAGTTAATTTCATTCTTTGACCCTTTGAGTCTCCAATTAAGACTGTATGAAAAATGAAAATAAAATAGACTGAAAATAAAAAGTACTTTTTTTTATATGCCTTGGAGTTATGTTTAAGAGAAAAAACTGTAAACTTTAGAGGGAAGTGCTCCTAGCCACACTAATGGCATTAAATTATTTTCAAAATATCTTTTCTCTACCTACAATCATTCTTTCCTGCAACCTCCCTCCCAATAAATTGCTAAGACAAATCTTTCATGAATGATACTCATTTCAATAACATATGCTATATCCTATTTTATATTTGATCTTTCAGCACAAATTATGATCATCCCATCAAGTCAAAACATGATACAGGTTTTGTTTTGAGTTTAACAGCATGGATTGTACATTAATCATATAATTAACAAATCTTAAAGTTTTATTCTACAAATGATTGGTAAACATGTAAAAATGATTAACCTCTTTAATGAGGAACAATAAAAATAACTTTTCTTGCTTCAGATGGAAAAAGGAAAAAATTCATAATATTCAGTTTGATGAGAATGAGGAAAAATTATTGTTGAAAATATTCCCTGATGTGGCTTCTCTAGGTCAATTTTGCAACATCACTCAATTCCCAGAATTCCATCTTTAAGATTTTATCCTACAAAAAGTATGCAAAGATGATTGTATGAGGATAGTCACTATAGAATTTCTTATAATAGCAACTAGCTAACAAACATAAGGAATCATAGCATTTTAGAGCTACAAATGCCCTTACTTTAATCTATTCTGATCCCATGATTTTATGGATGAATAAAATTATTTCCAAGAAGAGTAAAATAATATCCTTAAACCATAAAGCTAGTAAGTCAAATTTGGATGGGGGAGCAAGTACCCTCTTGTATGTGTTGGTGCTTTGATATGATGACTCACAAATATAGAAGAGAAACCAGAGAAGAATTGAATGGAGAGGCCAAGGAAGAAACTCTTAATAACTTTCTAGTTGTTCTCTTTGAGGCAGGTTTTCAAAATGCTGTTCATCTATTTTGTTTTAAGAAATATAGAATTACTAGGACAGACTTGTTCATATTCAAATGCAAATAAAAACCGGTTGGAAAGGAGGCACTCCCAGCTCAGTTTTTAAGATTATAACCTGTTCAGTATTTATCTGCACAAAATACTCCTTACAAAAACTGTACAATCAAGGGTAACATGGCTCAAGCCACCTTAGAGGAAATGTGAATAATACAAAAGTTTTATTTCTCTCAAATGCATTATTTTTTTCATTTTAGACATGAGGGTTAAGGTTAGAGTTAAATTACAATTAGGCTGCACATACAAAATGATTAAGAGTAACCCAACACCAAGCTTAGCAGTAAAAAAAAATAAAAATAAAATGGCTAATCCAGAATTAAATGCATTTAGATAAAGAGACTGATTTCATACGTTAATAAGTTTCATTTCTACAAATGTAAAAGTAAAAGGAGCCATCTCTACAAAGACATTCAATGTATATTACCTCTCTGTTAGGAAGGCGCAGATGAGATTCTTTGCATGTTTAGAAATTTCTGCATCTTCAGGGAAACATAGTGAGTTTTTATGATCCATAATTTTGCTATATGTTCCTACAAGTGAATCTGCATAAAATGGAGTATCCCCTAAAATTCCAAGAAATAAGACATTGAGTGTAATAGAGAAAGCAAATTAAACACTTTTCATCTAATATTTAAGTACATTAAGTTTAAATTTGACACATGCATGAAAAAATGAATGGTTATGGGCCAGAAGTTTCAGACAAAACAAAAAGGTGCACACCAATATATTTAAATTTTAACCATACCAATGAATCATCAACCCTTATGAGTAAAAAAATCAAGGCTAAGTATAACTCTAGAATTTTGTAGGAAGTTTTAAATAATGGGACAGGAAACAATTTACTAAATAATTAAAGAAAAAGATTACTAAGTGAGGTCAGATCAGAGTCCTGTCTAATGCTTAAGCTAGATCACGGATCAGCTTTTTGAGATTATTCTCTAGAACTCTGTTATACTAGTCACATGCACCAATTTAAATTAACTGCAACTAAACAAATGAAAAAATCACTTCCCTAGTTCACCAACCACATTTCAAGTGCTCGATGTGGCCAGTGCCTAGAACAGTGGACGCAGATATAAACCATTTTCATCATGACAGACTAGACCAGCGGTTCTCAACCTGTGGGTTGCGACCCCTTTGGCGGTCGAATGACCCTTTCACAGGGGTCGCCTAAGACCATCCCGCATATCAGATATTTACATGACGATTCATAACAGTAGCAACATTACAGTTATGAAGTAGCAATGAAAATAATTTTATGGTTGGGTCGTAACATGAGGAATTGTATTTAAAGGGCCAGAAGGTTGAGAACCACTGGACTAGACAGTGCAGCTCTAAGAATTAGACCAGCTATCTATCTATCTATCTATCTATCTATCTATCTATCTATCTATCTATTCATCCTCACCAGAGAATATTTTTCCCACTGCTTTTCAGAGAAGGTAGGAGGGAGGGAGGGAGAGAGGAACAAAAAGAGAGAGAAACATTGATGTGAGAGAGGCACTTCGACTGGTTGCCTCCTGCACACCCCCTGACCAGGAGACAGGGAATGAATCCACAACCCAGGCATATGCCCTTAACCAGAAATCAAACCTGAGAACCTTCAGTACTTGGGGTGACACCCCAACCACTGAGCCCCACTGGCCAGGGTCAGCCCTATTATTTTATACTAGAGGCCCGATGCACGAAATTCATGCAAGGGGCTCAGCCCTTGCAGCCCCAGCTTCATCGGGAAGGTCGTTCAGCTGTCTGGTCTAATTAGCATATTATGCTTTTATTATTATAGATACGAGGAAGCCGGGCCCAGAAGATGACATGTGATTTGCCTACAATGACACAAATCTAGAGTTGAAAATGGCAGAAATGGTCTCCCAGTGCAGTGTTCCTGCTGACTAATGACTATGATAAAGAGATATTCAAACAAGTGTAAAGACAGAAAATGCTGAAAAGTATCATTTTGGCCAGTTCTCATCTAAAGCCACAGGGTTAAATGTCCTGCTAGAATACTTCAACTACAAGTCACTTTAGTATAAGACAGACTTTCCCAAGCAGCCAATCCAAAACTTCAAAAGGGGTATTCAGGTAAGTAGTTTTTATTTGTTTTCAAAGGGGCACGGAGGAAAGCTTTGAATTTGATTCTTCTAGTGACATTTTAAAAAGTATGTTTTTATTGATTTATTTTTTAGAGGAAGAGAGAGGGATAGAGAGAAACAATGATGAGAGAAGGACATCCAAGGATTGGCTGCCTCCTACATACCCGCTACTAGGGACCAAGCCCACAACCCAGGCATGTGCCCTGACCTGGAATCGAACTGTAACCTCTTGGCTGCTGGATGGATGCTCAACCACTGAGCCAGACCAGCTGGGCTTCTAGTGCCATTTTTAATTGCAACAGAACCCTTTAAATGAACTCCAGTGCCAACCAACCTGAGCAAGCACCAGAGCAAGCTCAGAATACTGCAAATCAATGTCATTTAAACTCAGTACATTTATCTCTCAGGGTTGTGAACAGTCGCAGAAATTTAAATCTCTTCAAATGAGCTATGAGACTTCCTACAAAATACATTATTTTCTAAATCGTTTGGAGAATCTACACAAATAATAGAATACATTCTACTTTCAAATGATTACAAGACACACCTAATGCATCATCAGATCGGGCCAGAGGTGGGGAGAATGGACTGTTTACCTGGAAACATATGGTGAATACAAAGAGACACACTACAAAGACAAAGGTCTAAAACATAGTAGGTCATACTATGCCATAATACTAAGCATATAGCAAGATCAATGCTACATACACTGGATGGTCATCAAAAGCAATTTCAAAAGGTCTACTTGAGGAATATTTCCCAGCAGCATACTTTCCTTTCCTTTCCTTTCCTTTCCTTTCCTTTCCTTTCCTATTTTACTCAACTTGGCAGTATAAGGTTTGGTTTTAATTCTCCAATTAATAATCTGTCATATCAGACATTACTAATTCAAAGTTTTCATAAATTCTACTTCTTCCCTAGGACACATGCAATTAATTTCCTTATAGTCCAAAATTTGTGAACTAGAACTAAAGTGTTATAAGATGGGTTTTGAAAAAGAATGTTAAATATTTACTTACCCACCAGCATCTCAAAAAGGAAAACACCCACAGACCACCAATCACATTCTCGCCCATAGTAACCATCACCCCCTTGTGATTTCAGAACCTCGGGTGATATATAATCAGGTGTTCCAACTGCTGTATCACAATGCACCATGCCTGTCTGGGTAAATAGCAGAGATAAAGAGAAAAAGATGCATGTAAACACACCCACACATAAATGCAACTAATTCATTTATTATTCATATAAGTGATATAAACTGCTACCAACAGAACTTCACTGCTGACACAGCTTTGGCAGGAGAGAGGACAAATGCATTGAGTCATACACAGTAAGCAAAACTAAATTTATCTTTGTTTAAAACTATAAAATCCCAATTTGAAGTGTTTCTTTTATTTTTGTTTCTAAAAAACAACCCAGCATTTTTTTACTTGCTTATAACTTACTTCATCCATCTTCATACATGTGCCAAAATCTGCTAATTTTAGATGTCCATGTTTATCCAAAAGCATATTGTCAGGTTTTACATCTCTGTGAATTAAACCCATGGAGTGTATGGCATCCAGAGCGAGAACAACTTCAGCAGTATAAAATTTGGCCCATTTTTCAGGTACATCATAGTTACTCATAAGGTTTACAAGGTCTCCACCAGGCATGTACTCCATTACCATATACAGATACTTATCATCTTGAAAGGCACAAAAGAGCTGAAAAATAAAATGGGAAGGAAAAGAATTTTTAAGAAGAAAGAAAACTCAAACCATAAACAGAACAAAACCCCAAAACTGTTTTTATTATTGAAAAAAAAGACAGATTACTTTATATCCAAAACCAACTTGAATTTTATGAAATGTTTGATTTTAGATTTGGACATCTTTAAGGGAAAAATAGTTAACAGACAAAACTTTGATATGGGTATCTTCTTCATACTTACTAACAAAATATGTATAAACATATCATTTTTCCCTCTTGGAGAATATAGGAATCTATTTAAATAGAAATATTTTTAAAAGAGAAAAAGAATAAGACAAACAACAAATTATTGCACATAACTCACAAAGAAGGGAGCTGGGGAGGTAGTCGCAGTTTAGAAAAACCTAAAAGATACCAGATTCAATGGCCACAGGAAGAGGGAGCGAGCCCCATTCCACTGGGAGAGGGAGCAGCTGGTAGTCACATTTGGAACAGGTCCTTCTCCTCTCTTCCCTTCTCCATCTTCTTGCTCATAATAAGCAGCAAGTGGCAGTGCTACCTGCATCCACACTAAAATAGTGACATTGGGACCAGAGAAATAATACACCAAGCTAGGTTGCTACTAACTTCCAAGAGACAGAGAAATCACAAATTCAGAAGGAAAGCTATCCATATTCCATCCTAAAACATGTCCCACTCCACCCAGAAGCAAGCAATTGCAAACAGAAAAGGTTTCCACAAAGAGAACAAAACCAAGAAATCAACATTTTAGAAAAACCAGTACCATGACATACAGATAAAGCAATTCAAGAAACAACAAAATTGCCCATATTTGCATGAGTCTATATTGGGGTTTTCTATTCCATGTAATTGTTGTTGTTTTTTCATTCTTGCCACCAAGTACCACAGTGTTTTTATTAGTTCTGTTTAACTTGCTTGATATTGATTAAGGTTCTTAGATCTACGGGTTTATAGATTTCATCAAATTTGGAAAACTTCAAGTATTTCTTCAAGTATTTTTTCTCTCAGCTTCTGCCCCACCCCTTTCTCAGGTTGTAGTTATACATATGTAATCTGTTTGGTGTTGTCCTATGGGTAACTGATAGTCTCTCTGGGTTTTCTTTTAGTCGTTTTTTAACCCTGATATGCTTCATCTTGCAGTTTTTATGCTCTGTCTAGACCAGTGATGGCGAACCTATGACACGTGTGTCATTTTTTTGGTTGATTTTTCTTTGTTAAATGGCATTTAAATATATAAAATAAATATCAAAAATGTAAGTCTTTGTTTTACTATGGTTGCAAATATCAAAAAATTTCTATATGTGACACGGCACCAGAGTTAAGTTAGGGTTTTTCAAAATGCTGGCACACCGAGCTCAAAAGGTTCGCCATCACTGGTCTAGACAAATGAAATAAAAGACATGTATGCAAATGTTCACTATTTATAACAGTCCCAAAGTTGAAACAATTCAAATGTTATCAATCAGTAAATGTGCCGGAAGCCGGTCCATCCTTGCTGCTTGACACAGTCGCTGCAGGATAGAAACATCTGCACAGCATATGTTTCAAGGGACCTGGTGTATATAGCATACTGTTCTTAATATGTTTGCTCCCCTTAGCGCTGTGTGTTTTAACCAAGGTCACCTCTCCGAGAAAGGTTGTTTCCCCAGGTAGGAATTTTTCCCTGAAGTCAGGGAGGGGATGCCTCTCCTAGAAAGGTTGTTTCCCCAGGTAGGAATTTTTCCCTGAAGTTAGGGAGGGGATGAAACTCCTTAACTAAGTGCCAGGCGGGTAGTTAATCACTACAAACAATCATGCTTAAGCTACATAATCTTTACTCCCTGGTATGGAGATAAGAAACGCCCTAACCTTTGTAATAGAAATTGACAGGATTAAAATCAATTGGTATAAATACGGATGTAACAAAACAATAAACAGCAGAACCTCTCTGGAGATCCAGACCAGAACTTGGCTGGAGATCCTGGCTAGAGATCCTGGCTAGGCTGCTGATCAACTGAACTCCATCTCCGTGTCATTCCTTCTTCGCCGACTCCATCCACACCTTTGGGGACCCCTGGACCTGCTGGGGTTGGACCCCGGCATAAATGGACAAACAAAACTGAGTATAATGCATATACGGTGTTTCCATCCAACCAGGTATATTGCAATACAATCCTGATGCTAAACACCTAGAGTTAGCATCAGATCCCACAAGAGCTCAGTCTTCTACAAGACTGCCCTCACTTCAAACATTAGTCATACTTCCAGAGTCCCCAGGCCTGCATTTCTGACTAAAGGACTAAAAATTCAGGAGTTTCATAACCCCCTAAGGTTCAATAATTCACCAGGATGACTCACAGAACTTAGAGGGAAGCACTATACTTATGATCACAGTTTATTATCAAGGATGCACATAGGGTGAAGTCTGGGAGACAGCACACAGCTTCTGTGCCTTTTCCTTGTGGAATTAGGATGCATCACACTCTGCACATCAATGTGTTAACCAATCAGGAAGCTCCACTGAGTGCCAATGTCCAGAATTTTAATTAGGGTCTCATTACATAGGCATCATTAAATAAATCATTGCCATGTGATTAAACTCAACCTTCAACTCTCTTCCCCTCCCTGGAGGTTGAGCAGCTTGTACTTTCTGGCAACCAATCTCATCTCAAAGCTATCAAAAGGCTACCAGGAGTTGCCTCATTAACATAACAAAGACACTCCTATCACTCTGGAAATTCAAGCAATTTTAAAAGTTCTGTGTTTAGGAACTGGGGACAAAGAGAATATATTCTTTACTATTCCATACCATACAATGGAATATTATTTAGCACTAAAAAGAAATGAAGTACAACACATACTGCACTATGCATGAACTTCAAAACAGTATGCAAAGGGAAACACACCAGATCCAAGACAACTACTGTATATTCCATTTCCCTGAAATATCCAGAAAAGGCAAATCTATAGAGACAGTAAGCACATTAGTGGTTGCCTGGGGATGGGAGGAAGATGGAAAATAACTCTAAATGGGTACAAGTTATCATCTGGAGATAGTAAAAATGTTTTAAAATCAGATTTCAGTGATAGGTGTACAACTGTAAATTTCCTAAAAAAAATCACTGAATTATACGAGTTGATCTGCAAGTAACTTAATAATGCAGCTTTATTCACAAGGGACAAAAATTGGAAACAACTCAAATGTCCTTGAACAGATGAATGGATAAACAAATTATCATGTATCATGTAATGGAATACTATTTAGCATTAAAAAGGAATGAATTACTGATATACTGCATCATGGATAAATCTCAGTAACAATTTTGCTAAATGAAGAAGCCAGGTAGGATGGGATTAAAGTTAGAATGAACACTGTAGCAGAAAAGATAAGTTAACTTAAAGACATAGCTCAAACAAATAATACAAAATGAGGCACAGCAGAGCAACAACAAAAGACGAGGAAAAAAATAAAACAACAAATAAAGAGACTATCTGGGCAACACCAAGGAGATTATATACGTGTAACTCGAGGCTGAGAAAGAGGCTGAGAGTTATGTATGATAGAGCTGAGACAGAAAAAAAATACTTGAAGAAATAATGGCCAAAATTTTTCCAAATTTTATGAAATCTCTAAACCCATAGATCTAAAAAGCTCAATCAATATCAAGCAATTTAAAAAGAACTAATTAAAACACTGTGGTACTTGGTGGCAAGAATAGACAAATAAAACAACTAAATGGAACAGAAAACCCCAATATAGACCCATGCATACATGGACAATTGTATTACAAAAGGAGGCAAACTATACCAATAGGAAAAGGAAAACTGTTTTGTTTTTTTTCCCCAATGTGATGTTGGAACAACTAGATATCCACAAGGAAACAAATAAAACATAATCCTTGCCCTACCCAGTTTGGCTCAGTGGATAGTGTCGGCCTGTGGACCCAAGAGTCCCGGGTTCGATTCCAGTCAAGGGCATATACCTCAGTTGCAGGCTCCTTCCTGGCCTGGGCCCTGTTCATGGCTTGTGCAGGAGGCAACCCATGGATGTGTTTCTCTCACACTGATGTCTCTATCTTTCCTTCTCTCTTCCACTTAAAAAACAAACAAACAAACAAACAAACAACAAAAACACACACCCATAATCCTTATGTAACACCCTATTTTAAAAAATCAATCCTGGTGTGATCACAGGCAAAAAACAAAAAGTCAAAAAGATAACAGCCCTAGCTGGTTTGGCTCAGTGGACAGAGCGTTGGCCTGCGGACTGAAGGGTCTGGGTTCCATTCCAGTCAAGGGCACATGCCTGGGTTGCGAGCTCAGTCCCCAGTGGGGGGTGTGCAAGAGGCAGCCAATCAATGATTCTCATTACTGATGTTTCTTTCTCTCTCTCTCTCTCTCTCTCTCTCTCTCTCTCTCTCTCTCTCTCTCTCTCTCTCTCTCCTCTCTCCCCGCCTCCCCCTTTCCCTCTGAAATCAATTTTAAAAATTTAAAAAAGTAACATAACAGATTATCTTCATCAAATTTAAGGTAGGATATTATCAAGATAATAAAAAAAATTCTTAAATGCACCAAAGGTTATTCATCATAAAACTTTTATTAAATTGTACTACATAAGAGTTATACATTTCTATTCATCAAAACATGTTATTAAAGGAGTCAAAAGATGAGCTGCACATTGGTATCAGAGCTCTACAGTGTAAGGAGGGCTGTTCCTGCATGAGGATGGCTGCCATGGGTTACTAAGGCCCAAGCAGGGTGATGAGGACATCCAGGCAGAGGGGCAGTCTGACAAGGGATATGAGAGCCTAAAAGGGATGAGAAGGGACGAGATATCCAGGAAGAAAGAATCAGAGCCCAAGTAGAGAAAAGAGGGTGGGGGTTCATGGAGGAGACTGGGGCAGCAAAGATAGACACTGGTTATGCAGGCTGCACCAGGTGGACCGATCAACTATTTAAATGTATTAAAGGTAATGGAAGCCTCATTTCGCACAACTGGAGAAAAAAGGTCACAAATACAAAGAGGAATAAAACTAAAATGAACCCTATGGAGTTAGATTAAGAAGCATCAATGTGAACTTATGATTTTCAATATCTACAGTGGACATAGAAAAAAACAGAGGGGTGTGTGTGTGTGTGTGTGTGTGTGTACAGACTCAATCCACTGAGAATGCCTGAGAGCACTGACATTCCAATAGCCACAAGCACACAATACCAGTGAACACTTTGTAAAGGTCCATTTAGCAGAATTAAAGATTAAAGATATCAATTTACAAAATTATAAACTAGAAATGTCAATGACTCTGATACTATGAAAGCAATTTAAAGCTAAAAATGGAATAATTTATTACAATTATTCCTTAATCAGGTAAATTACCATTATATATGACTTGTTATAATCATATATCAGTTTTAGCTGCACATTATCAGAATTTCTATTCACTGAATAAAAAAATTGAGGAGGAGAAGGGTTGAGGCTCAACATAATAAAAAAAAGCAATAATATAAGTTTTTAAATTACATATTCATCAATGTGGCAATATTTTTTACATCCAAATTGCCTTCCACAAGCAAGATATCAAACTCCCAGATCATTTAAGCATTCTGAACATGCATTGGTATATACCTAACCTTACTCATGACATTTGTTCAAAATGTTTGTAAAATTAGATATTAGTATAAAAAATCTTTAGACAAAGCCGGTGAGGAATATAATTGAAAAGAAGATAAAATAGAACATCAGTTCCTTACTTAAGAGTCAAATATGAGGCTGAATTAGGAACCTCAAGACTGTCTTACATTATAGGTAATATATAAAGGACTGTAGAAACAGAATTTTCAAAATCCTTGTTGCATGAAGTCTTTTTTTCCTTTAAGATAGTCCGATTATTGTTTTTATTACATAAATCACAACAAAGAGTAGGCATACTTTTAATCAACCCAACACAATTCTTTATAAAGGAATTAAAAAAGAAAAAGTTGCAAGTAATACTTGCTTCCACACACAAAATGTAAGTATTGTATGTCATGTCTATATGACATACTACTTAGGAACATTAAACAAGCGTATTAAATCAGATCTTATTAAAAATAACTGCACTGTCACTATGTAAAGGAGATGTAGGATATTTAGCACACAAAATCAATAATTAAGAATGATAAGCACTTATAAAAGAAGGAAATAAACTTATAAAAGTTAGTATGCTTACCTGAACCACCCAGGGACTGTTGGCAAAGGCCATAATATCTCTTTCTTCCCAGAAAAAAGCAGAATCTGATCTTTTTATCATTTCAAACTTACTAAGAAGCTTCATAGCATAAACCTTCTGTGATGCTTTATGACGAACCTATTGATTTTTAAAACACAAAAATTATTAACATTTTAATTTTATGAGAAAGGTGAACAAATCATTACAATGCTATTATTAAGAGACTTTAGTTACAAAACAAAATGATCCTCAGCTACCTAATAAAAAGTAAAGACCTAACTTTCTTTTGCTGCTCCTCACCTGAGGATATTTTTTCCATTAATTTTTAGAGAGAGTAGAAAGGGGGAGGAAGAGAGAAAGAGAGAGGGAAAGAGAGAGACAGAGACATTGATGTGAGAGAGACATGTCGACTGGTTGCCTCCCACATGTGCCCTTCTTCACTCAGCTGAAATATAAACCCCTCAAATGGATGACCACCCTATCCAAAGTAGGAATTCATTGTTCCTTACCCTAGAACTCTACATGTTTCCTTCCTAGCAGATACCATACTTAATAATTTTTTGATGTTGTTTCCTTTTATTTATTGTGTCTCCCATATTAGAATGTAAGCTCAATGAAGGTAAAGATTTCTCATGCCTGTTTTATTCTCCATTGTACTCTCAGTGCCAAGTACAATGTCATCACTGGCAATTAAAATAGACACTCACTAAATATTTAATGAAAAAAGTAATGTCTGTGAAAAAAATTATATTATATTGCTGGCCAAACTATGAATTTCCAGTTATAAGAAAATAATCAACAGGTAATATTTCCAGAAAGTACCAAAGATTTACCAGAGAGTGACTGCTATAGGGTTAATAACAGAATAGAGACACTCACTAAATATTTGGTGAATAAATAAATGTCTGGGGGAAAATTTTGTATTTGATAATTGGCCAAACTATAAATAATTTCCAGTTATAAGAAAATAACAGGTAATATTTCTAGTTATTTTTCATTAAGTACTATCCATATATAGAATCAATATTTTTATTATATTGATTAAAATAAAGGTCAACCAAAGGAATGCTCATGTTCTCCCTAGCAAAGATATGATATTTTACAGATCTGATATTTTATAAAATGCAATAAAACTTTAGAAAATCATACAGTGCTGTACCTCTTTAGTAAAGAGAACACCCTCAACCCACATAAGAAATGTTCCTGGTTGAATGGACCTGAACATATCACTGACAGAAGAGATAGACAGGTCTTAGCATGAAACAATAAATACAAATATGTTATCACTCAGAACCATGCACTTCTGGCCAGAGTAGAGTAACTAGTACCGGCTAGCCTTCCCACTGTAAGCAACCATCCAAACGGCAAAACATGTGAACTAACTGCTTTCAGACTTTATCAAATAGGCAGCACAAGACTACAATTCCTGAGAGAAGAGAAATTCACCAAGTCAACACCATAATTACCCAAACACTATCTCAACCAGCATACAAGTGATCACCTAAGCTAAGCACAGTGGTCCTGCTGAGTTGAGGAAGCAGAGATCAGAGTTCAAGACAGGTGAGGCACAAGGATTATGCTAGCAAAAAAACAGGAAAGTAAAGAGTTATGCAGAGGGAGGTCCCTAGAAATACCATGTGAGTCCTTGGCTAAGGGTACTATCCAAAGAGAAAGTACCAAAGGTTTACAGATTGCAACTGCTACGGGGTTGATAGCAGAACAGAGACACTACAATTTAGACAGCATTGGAGAGACGTTTGATTTCCAGTCACAAAGAGTGGAGAAACCTTTTCTGGACATCCAGGTAAAATTAGGAGGAAGAACTATATTCTAAACCAAGGCCTACTCTAGAACTCCCTAACAAAGCTTAATAATACCATGCCCTAAAAGAACAAAAGGGGATTAGAGTTGAGAGGTTCACTCTTGCCAATGAAAAGAATTTGGAAAACAACTTGGTCTTTCACGCATCTACATTTACATATAAAGTATAAAACTACGCCTGCACAAGGTAAGGGTGATCAGCAACTGGACAGCTTGTTAGAATAAAAATCAACATCAAAGAAAAACAAAAAAATCCAGGGTCTCCATCACATATTGACAAGGACCAGTATATAATTTTAAAAATTACTTGATAGGCAAAGAGGAAAAGACTCATCCTCAAAAAAAAAAAAAAAAAAAAAAAAAAAAAAGAAGCAGTTAATAGAAAACCCCAATAGATGTTGGACTTAGCTAGCAAATACTTAAAAATTTTAAAAATAGCCTTCAATGAACAAAAGGAAATATCTACAGAGAAATGGAAACTACAAAAAAAGAACCAGCTGGAAATTCTATAACTGAAAAAAAACTAAAATGGAAAATTCATTGGAAGGGCTAAACAGAGAATGGAAATGGAAGGAACCAATGAACACAAATCAATCTGAAGAACAAAGAGAAAGACGAATACATTAAAATAAACAAAGATTCGGGGGCCTGCAAGGCCATTTTAAACCATCTAAAATATGTGTCAATATAAATGGACTAAACACTCCAATTCATAGGCAAAAATTATAAGAATTAATTAAAAAGCAAAACCTAACCTTATATATTTTAAACATAAGACCAAGGAGGTTGAAAATGAAAAGATGAAAAAAGAAATACCATGCAAACAGTAAGGTAAGAAAGTAGACAGAGCCCTAGCTGGTTTGACTCAGTGGATAGAGCGTCGGGCTATGGACTGAAGGGTCCCAGGTTCAATTCCGATAAAGGGCACATGCCTGGGTTGTGGGCTTGATCCCCAGTAGGGGGCGTGTAGGAGGCAGCTGATTGGTGATTTTCTCTCATCATTGATGTTTCCATCTCTCTCCCCCTCTCCCTGCCTCTCTGAAATCACTAAAAATCCTATATAATAAAAGCTTAATATGCTGTGTCCAGTCGTCTGTTCAACCAATCAAAGCGTAATAAACTAATGATATGCTAAGGCCACTCAACTGCTTGCTATGACATACACTGACCACCAGGGGGCAGACAGTCGACCGGTTGATCAGTTGCTATGACATGCACTGACCACCAGGGGGCAGACACTCTGACCAGTAGGCTACCTTGCTGCTGGGGTCTGGCCAATCAGGACTGAGCCCTGGAGCCCTCCAGTGGTCCCTCCCCGGCTGGTCAACCTCCTGCATCCCTCCCTGGCCTGGTGATCCTGCACTGGTGGGGTCCCTCTGCGCCCTCTTGCAATCCAAGACCCCTCAGGGGATGTCAGAGAGCCCATTTCGGCCCCGATCCCACTCAAAGCTGGAGCTGCCCCCTTGGTGGTCAGTGCGATCTCACAGGGGGGGCGAAGCTCAGCCAGAAGCCATGCTCACGGCTGGCAACCACAGCGGCCTCCTTGGCAGCGCTAAAGATGTCCAACTGTCAGCTTAGGCCCGTTCCCTGCACTATGAGTGGCATAGGCCAGGCTGAGGGACCACCAAGTGCAAGAATTTCGTGCACTGGGCCTCTAGTGTGTGTGTGTGTGTGTGTGTGTATAAATAAATAAAGTGGACAGAGAAATATTAATAACACACAAAGTAGACTTCAAAGCAAAGAGAATAAAAGGATAATTCAGAGAAGAGTATAACACAGTGATGGCGAACCTATGACACGCGTGTCAGAGGTGACACGTGAACTCACTTTTTTGGTTGATTTTTCTTTGTTAAATGGCATTTAAATATATAAAATAAATATCAAAAATATAAGTCTTTGTTTTACTATGGTAGCAAAAAATTTCTATATGTGACACAGCACCAGAGTTAAGTTAGGGTTTTTCAAAATGCTGACACACCGAGCTCAAAAGGTTCACCATCACTGGTATAACACATCAGGAAGACATAAAAATTCTAAAAATGTATGCATCTAATAAATGAGCTTGAAAATTCATGAAGCAAAAATTGACAGAATTAAAGAAAAACAAAAAAGACAAATCCATGATTTCAATTGGAAATTTTAATATCCCCTCAGTACTTGATATAAGAAGTAAACAAAACTTTGATATGGCTACAGAGAAAATACAGCCGCAGAATGAAAACTGCCTAATCAAATTATAAGTATAAAGGTTATTACATCAATAGGTTATATCACTTATCATTGAACTACTTTGATATACTGTAACTGTACATGAAAAGAATCTACTCATATATGCAAAGAGCCAAATAAATTATGATGAGGGTCAAAGATTACATCCATCTTCTATATTAACTTATTAAACTGGAATAACAATTCCTTCGATTTAGTGTTATAACATTTATAGGGTGCTGAAAATAAATGCATGGGGAAAGCAATATGAAAACATGGGTAGGTAGATTAAGGGGTAAAGGATCCTAGCCTTAAAACTAGAAATACCTTGCACAGCAGATAAGACTAGATGTTTGATTTATGTTGAATTAGCAAATTATCTCAAGGCAAATGCTCATTTTAGCACTGCTGTTATACGTTGTTTTAAAAAATATTTAAAATGATGTTAAAAAGGTTGCTAAGGTACTCCCTCTTCCACATTTATGCCACTCTTCAACCCTTCACTACAAACTAAATTTTGAGTGTTTCCTAACTTCATTAGAAAAAACATTCCATATAACATTGAGTCAATCAATTAATTTATGCTTGACTCAGACCATAAAAGAGTTTTAAGAATTCTGCTGTAAGGTACAGTTATGAACAGAAATTAAAAGGTATTTGTCAGCTGGTAAAAAAAAATAGTTAAAAACAAAAAGCTTCTACACAGCAAAAGAAACCATCAACAAAATGAAAAGGGAGCCCACTGAATGGGAGAACATATTTTGCAATGATACATCTGATAAAGGGTTAATATCAAAAATATGTAAGGAACTCATACAAATTAACAAAAGGAAGACAAACAATCCAATTTAAAAATGGGCAAAGGACCCCCTGGCGATGGGCAAGGAGACACCTGATTGGTGGTGTTGCTCTTATATCAATCAGGGGCAAAGCAGATGTACGGTCCTTAGTTCATCCTAGCTTGATGCCTGTGTCGGTAGCCAGAGCTGTTTCATGACTGAGGCACATTAAAAAAAAATGATCAAAGGACCTAAACAGACACTTCTTCAAAGTGGACATACAGATGGCCAAGAGATATATGAAAAAATGCTCAAAGTCACTGATTATCA